CACACCACACACACACACACTCACTCACTCACTCACTCACTCACTCACTCACTCACTCTCTCACACTCTCACACTCTCTCTCTCTCATATATATATATATATATATATATATATATATATATATATATATATATATATATATATAATATAGTGTTTGTGTGTAATTACCTAAGTGTAGTTACAGGATGAGAGCTACGCTTGTGGTGTCCCGTCTTCCCAGCACTCTTTGTCATATAACGCTTTGAAACTACTGATGGTCTTGGCCTCCACCACCTTCTCCCCTAACTTGTTTCAACCGTCTATCACTCTGTTTGCGAAAGTGAATTTTCTTATATTTCTTCGGCATCTGTGTTTAGCTAGTTTATATCTATGACCTCTTGTTCTTAAAGTTCCAGGTCTCAGGAAATCTTCCCTATTAATTTTATCAATTCCTGTTACTATTTTGTATGTAGTGATCATATCACCTCTTTTTTCTTTTGTCTTCTAGTTTTGGCATATTTAATGCCTCTAACCTCTCATCGTAGCTCTTGCCCTTTAGTTCTGGGAGCCACTTAGTAGCATGTCTTTGCACCTTTTCCAGTTTGTTGATGTGCTTCTTAAGATATGGGCACCACACAACTGCTGCATATTCTAGCTTTGGCCTAACAAAAATCGTGAACAATTTCTTTAGTATATCGCCATCCATGTATTTAAAAACAATTCTGAAGTTAGAAAGCGTGGCATAGGCTCCTCGCACAATATTCTTTGTGGTCCTCAGGTGATAGTTTTCTATCTAGAACCACCCGTAGATCTCTTTCTTTATCAGAATTCTTTAAAGATTTCTCACATAATATATAGGTGTGTGTGTGTGTGTGTGTACTTCCCTAATTGTACTCGCCTAATTTTGCTTGCGGGGGTTGAGCTCTGGCTCTTTGGTCCCGTCTTTCAACCGTCAATCAACAGGACTAGATGGCCTGAGCCTAGGTATTAGGCCTAGGAAGGTTAGGCTAGTTTAGGTTGTCTCAGCAACATAAATACATAACCTTTTCCAGTTTGTCCAAATTCAATAGTAATGATTTCTGTTTTCTAATTGTCCATTATGTCATATATGTACTATGGTCTTCATCATTACTATAAGTACTAACAAAACAGGAGGATCGGCTGTATTTACAGTGTGTGTGTGTAATTACCCAAGTGTAGTTACAGGACGAGAACTATGCTCGTGTTGTCCCGTCTTTTACAGTACTCTGTCATATAGCGCTTTGAAACTATTGAGGGTTTTGACATCCACCATTTCACTTAACTTGTTCCAACCATCTACCACTCTGCAAAAGAAAATTTTCTAATTTTTTTTGGCACCTTTGTTTCCTTACCTTGAATTTGTGTCCTCTTGTTCTTGAAGTTATTGGTTTCAGGAATTCTGTTGTCAATTTGGTAATTTCTTTAATTCCTTTCACATAATTGACAAGTTGTGTGTGTGGTCTATTTTCTCTGATTCCATATTCAATAACATGACATTTATTCACATTGAATTCCATATACCACATGTCGCTCCAAGTACTTACTTTTTCTAGATCCATTTTAAGGACATGACAATTGTCTCTGTCTCCTATTCTCCCCAGTATCTTAGCATCATGTGCAAACATGTTCGTATATTTCTCTTATTCCTTCTGGTAGATCGTTTATGTAGATGACGAACATTACTGGTGCAAGAACTGAACCCTTTGGTACTCCGCTAGTAACACTCCTCCAGTCAGATGCATTGTCTCCGATTACTGCTCTCATCTCTCTGTCAGTTAAAATTTTTTCATCCATGTTAAAAGTCTCCCTGTTACCCCTCCAGCATGTTCCAGTTTCCAAAACAATCTCTTGTGTGGGACTCTGTGAAAAGGTTTTTTTTTTTTTTTTTTAGCTCCAACTAGACACAGTCAACCCAACAAACTTTTTCCAGTAGAATCTCTGTGGCTCTATCATAAAAACTAAATAGCATTGTTACACAAGATCTTCCTGTTCTAAAACCATATTGTCTGTTGTGTTGCTATGTCATTATTCTCCAGGTGTTCTACTCGTTTGGTTTTAACTGTTTTTTCTAGTATTTTAACTACCACGTTTGTTAATAATATGGGTCTATAATTTAAAGAGCCTTCTCCAGTAGAATCTCTGTGGCTCTATCATAAAACTAAATAGCATTGTTACACAAGATCTTCCTGTTCTAAAACCATATTGTCTGTTGTGTTGCTATGTCATTACTCTCCTGGTGTTCTACCCGTTTGGTTTTAACTGTTTTTTCTAGTATTTTAACTACCACGCTTGTTAATAATATAGGTCTATAATTTAAAGAGCCTTCTCGGCTACCATTTTTGTAGATTGGAACTGTGTTTGCCTTTTTCCAAATATCTGCTAAGAGTCCTGTGGACAAAGATGTCTGGAATATCAATTGAGTGGGATGCTCAGTTCAGTTGCACATTCTCTCGGTACCGAATGTGAAACTCCATCTGGTCCAACAGCTTTATTTCTTCCTAGCCCTTAGAGTAAATTTTCCCACTTCGTCTCGAGACACCTCTATGTACTCTATGGTATTTTCTGGAATTGGCATTGGGTGTGGCTCTCTGAAATCCTCATTTCTCACAAACACACTTTGGAACTGTTCATTTAGTGTTTCACGCATTTCTTTTTCATTCTCAGTGAACCTGTTCCCCATTCTCATCTCTGGATTTTATCCTTTACATGCTGCTTGCTTTTAATGAATTTATTGAAAAGGCCTATATCTGTTTTACATTTGTTCACAACCCCTTTCTCAAAGTACCTTTCTGCCTCTCTCCTCGCGGCTGTGTATTTGTTTCTTGCTTGTTTGTAGTGCTGGTATGTTTGAGGGTTAGGACTTTTCCTATAATGTACCCATTTCCTTGTCTTTTCCTCTCTGGCCCCCTCTCAATTTCTATTGAACCAATAGTGTTTTCTGGTTCTGCATCTTTGTTTTGGTATACATTTTTTTTTTTGTATCTTCTTCATATAGTTCACAGAATTTGGCATACATCTCGTTTAATTTTTGCCGAGTAACAAATCTTTCCAATTAAATTCATTAAAGAATTTGCTAAGTTCCCCCAGAGTGTCCTCTCTTAAAATCAAGTTTGTCACCTATTTCAATTTTGGCATTCTCTTCTAGATTATATTGCATATCATATATAATTTCCAGCAGGACACGGACTCTTTCCCAAGGAAGGAAGGAAGGAAGGTACAGTACTGAAATACCAAATCCAACAATGATGGAGCATCACTTTCTCTCATTCATATGGGTTGTTTTACATGTTGATACCTGAAAGATTCCAGGAGGTGGTTTATTAATCGGCCATTCCAAAAAATCTCTGTTCTTGCTTCATAGTCTTCCCAGTCTATCAATTTTAAATTGGTCATCAAGTATCAACAATCAGGATTTATCTTTATCTGCCTTAACAATAATTTCTCTTATGTCATTATAAGGCTCTCTCTCTCTTGTTGTCATCGAGCTCCTTTTTAGTCCATGTATTGCTTGCTGGAGGACTGTATGCAGTAATGATTATTAGTTTATCGTTCTGACTGCAACTCTCCAGCACCATTATGTCTATTTCTCGAGAAGGGTATATAGTGGAGTACTACAGGGTTTTGTTCTTGTATCAGTTATGTTCATTGTCTGCATAAATGATCTACCAGAAGGCATGCAGAATTATATGAACATTACACACACAAATTGCAATAGCGTGATGCATCAAATGAACAAATCCACAAGGGTCGTGACGAGGGTTCGAACCTACCTCCTAGAGGATCCCAGACGCTGCCTTAATCGACTGAGCTACGACATGGAAAAGAATTGCAACCGGTAAATCATCCTGATTTACCAACGGTTCCTGCAGTCTCTCTGAGACACAAACCAGGGTTTTACGCAATTCCCCCATGCACCCGAGCTATGTCAATAGGCTGTTCTGCCTCTTTGCCCTTACTTCATTACACACATGTAAGGCAGCGTCTAGGATCCTCTCGGACATAGGTTCGAACCTTGTCACGGCCCTTGTGGATTTGTTCATTATATGAACATGTTTGCAGATGATGCTAAGATGCTGTGGAAGATAGGAGATGCAGACGATTGTGATGCCCTTCAAATTGATTACTGTCAAGTGGCAAATGGAATTCAATATGAATAAATGACATGTTATTGAATGGGGAATTGGAGAAAATAGACCACATACAACTTAAAAATTATGTGGACTGGCATTGCAGAACTCTAATAAAGAAAGAGACCTAGGGGTGGTTTTGTATTGTAAGTTGTCACCAGAGGAACACACACAGAACATTGTGAGAGGAGTGCATGCTTTGTTTTCCAACTTCAAATTTGCTTTAATTATATGGATGGTGAAATACTAAAGAAACTGTACATGACTTTTGTGAAACCAAAATTGGAATATGCAGCAATTGTATGATGCCCAAATCTTCATAAATATATGTTTATGAAGTACATAAGTAAACTGGAAAAGGTGCAACGGCATGCCACAAAATGGCTTCCGGAACTGAAAAACAAGAATTATGAGGAGAGACTAGAGGCAATAAACATGCCAAAACTAGAAGATAGAAGAAAAAAAGGAGATATGATTACTACTTACAAAATACTAACAGGAATAGACCAACTTGACAAAGTGTAATTCCTAAAACTAGCAACTTCACGAACAAGAGGACACAGATTCAAGCTGAGGAAACAAAGGTGCCGAAAAAATATTAGACAAGCTAAGTGGTGGTGGAGGCCAAAACCGTCGGTAGTTTCAAAGTGTTATATGACATTGAGTACTGGGAAGACGGGACACTACGAGCATAGCTTTCATCCTGTAACTACACTTAGGTAATTACACATACATATACTGTATAATGTATATGGGACATGTGATTAATGTGGAGCTTTTAATATTTTGGTGGTCCAGCCTCTAGGCAGGTCCTGCTCAGCAGTGCTTTAAAATTGTTCATGAGTACCTTGGTGACAACTGATCCATTTGCAGGTATTATTGAACTAGTTAAAGATGCTGAAACTCTTCGAAAGATCCAGACAGAATATGGAGTAACAGGGTCTTTTCAGGACCGTCCGATTGCAGAGTGGTTAGCTAAACAAAATCCTTCCCAGTTAGAATATCAGAGAGCTGTTGATAACTTTACTGGTAAGAGTTTTTGTTTTATTTAAATTACATGTACATGGTTGTATGGGGTCTTTTATTTCTCTTAATTTTAGTATTTAAATACAGGGTGACTTCACTCGAGCGAACTGTATGGAGCTGAGCCAACTTGATGCATGTGGTATTTTGTTCCATCTTCTAGACCAGTGGGCACCTCTAAAGTAAAAATTTTCTGTGGGGAGCCCCTATGGCTCCCTGGAGCTATCAAGCTAATGTGTGTTATATTAGACCAGGACATTAGCTATGGTGTTTGACCTACCAGGGACCACGAGCCAGAACCTGGTCTCTTCAGAGATTTCATGGAGCAATGTCCCTGGAAAACCCCCTGTGGTTGGAGGATTTCCTTATCTGCCATCGACCGGGGTTAGGCACCCAGAAAGGTAGGCATAACAAAATAAACTCCACATGGTAAGAGACTAACAACAAAAAACTGAAAAGAGAGGTAGAACTCTTTCCAATCCCAAGAAAACAAACCAACAAGCAAATGTCACACTCTACTGTCTCGTTGCTTGTCCGCGCAGCTCTCCCCACCCTGCGCCAGCTGCCAGGCACTCCAGTTCGCGAGCTAATGTCAACTGAGGACAGACGGTTCTTTGGCCTCAAATTACTTAGCCTCCTTGGGGCTCTCTGCTTTGTTATTGTTGTTTGTAGTGGCCAGGGGTTACTTATCAGCACCAGGTATGCATGCGCTTAGGGGCTTTCTTCCCTAAGCGCCCTGTGAGTACTGACCTTACGTGTTTAGGGTTCTCTTCCCTGGGGCGTTCGGGGACCATTTCCATAGAGGTTCTTGCTGCTTGGCATTTATCTCGCCCTTGGGGCCAGCAAGGGCTTGGGGCCCTTGTTTGCCCTTGGGTAAGAAGTGGTATCATGCTGGTTGGGGCTTCAAGGTGTTGTGCAGCCTGCCTACCTATGCTGCGGCTAGTTCCTGTTGCCTCTAGGGACACTGTACTTTTGCGTTTTTTTTTTTTTTTTTTTTTTTTTCATTTTCCTGGTGGGGTCTGCCTGGTGTGGCTATAGTTCCACTGATAATATTTTGGCGGCCCTCTGCTAGGTCCCCATGATTGTACACATTGCAGGGGTTTCAGTGTTGTACTCTTCCCCTTGTTAGATTTGGGTTTTTAACACCTTGCCCCGGGCTTCGCGTATTCGACAACCTACAGGCCCTGGAAAACCCTGTCAGGGCTCGGTGGACCGATGAATGCATCTTCCGGGTTCCAGGCGGCCTTGTGCAGGTTTGAAGGTTGCTGTGTGCCTTTGTCTCAGGGTGACAGTCACCACTTTTGCCTCCGTCATGCTGCCTGTTGGGTTGACGACATCTTTGACCTGGAGTCTTGCGAATCGCGTTCTCTGCTTGTCCTCCAATATTATTCTGATGATGTTAGGGTACAGGCAGCATACACGTTGCATGCTCAGTTTAGGTTGCTGCAACGTGCTAGGATGGTTTCCCACCCGGATGCCCCATGGCTGCCCACTTTGGTTATGGGGACTTGTACCTGGGGAAGTTGGCCGCTTCAACCTTGGCTCAGTCCGTGCTCCCTGATCCTTCCCCTGTTGTTAATCCTGCACCTAACCCACCCTGCTTCCGGCTCCCAAAAGTCTGAGAGTTTCGGAGGCTGCCTCATTCGGGTCGGGGACGGAGGGATTCGAGCCAGTTCCTCCTGCCGAGGCTTCTGGGTCCTACCAGCAGGCCCTCTTCCTGTCAGCCTTTTCCCTGGACTCTGCCTTTTCTTCAAGGGTAGAGGGTATGGAGGACAGCTCTGCCACTGATCCCGACTTAGGGGATCTCGGGAAGGGGGGGAGGGGTTGTTGTTGCAAGGCGAGGGGTTTTCTTACCCCCTCCTTTCCCTGTGTGAGTATGATTTGAGTTTGACTCCTCCCCGGGGTTCAGTTCTGGGCCCCTTTTGGGTACCTTGGCCCCGTCTTTCTGGAGGTTTTCTGCTTCTCGTATCTCCACGAGGGAGGTTCGGGAGGCTCTTGCTACATACCTCCTGCGAGACCCGGATCCCGCCTCTATCATAAATCTGTCCTCTTTTGATATCGGTTCTTCTTCCCTGTTTTGGGTGCGTATGGAGGTTTTGGAGTCTTCCTGGCTGGCAGACTGCCCTTTCTTTTTGTTGGGGGTGTGGCATGGGTTGTGTTGGTCCCGCATGCTTGAGTGGCAAGAAACGTCTACTGTTCTGCATGTTTACCTGGGGGCGAGTTTGAGTGCCTTAATGCGTGCTTGTTCGCTCTGTGCTTTCTCAGGATGTTTGCCTTGTGCATCTGCACATGCAGGTTCCTTCCCTTTCGGCGTCCTTGGTTGTAGAGGATTTTCGCGCCCGTTGGCATTTGGCTTTGGTCTTGTGCTTCTTTTACTTTCTCGAGCTGTCTTCTTCCTGGCATGAGGAGGGTGTGGAGGGGTTGAGTGCTGGGCCTTTGTGTGGTGTGCTGTCCTTGGTGGCTTGGACATCGGCTGTATTGTTGAAACTCTTTGTGCCTGTCCTGAAAGAGGCGGTGGCTCTGTTCTTTGCTTCTCACCTTGAGTGCTGTCAGGCTGTGCTCGCCCTCTCCTTGGAATCCACTTGGGTCCTGGCTCCTAGGTTTTCATCTCCATTTTGCCCGTTGCTGTTTGCGGAGGCTGCAGGCGGCTTCGTCTTGTTGTCGTTATGTGTCGGACTTGTTGGTTCTCTGGGGCAGCCGTTCTTGGCCTTCTCAGAAGGGTCGTGCCAGGGCTCAGGTTTTCGCTGGTCGAGGTGGGTCATTGGTGCCAGCTTTTGAGCTGGGGTTGCCTTTGGAGCCAGTGTCGTCTGGTCGGCGCGGTGATCGCTCTGTTTGGTGGTCGGCTTCTTGTACGGGACATCGGCCCTTTCGCTGTTTGCCCCGTTGCCGGGGCGATGGGGGGGGGGGGGGGGCTCGCTATGTTTGCTCTCGCTTGGTCCCACGATTTGTGGACGTTTTTGGTCGTGTCATCCGGCCAGTGATGGCGTAGGGCGGCTCCTGCTCCTTCGGGGGGTTCGGGGCTGGCGGGACAGGCTTCTTTCCCTGTGCTTCATCAGGTCATCTTGGAGTGGGTGTGCTTGGGGGTAGTCGAAACGACCTCGTCCCTCAGGTGGGTTTCCAATGCCAAAACGGGACTGTGGGGATCTGCAGTTCATTCTGAACTTGTCCCGACTTCCTTGCCCCTACTTTCAGATGACTACTCTTTCTCAGGTTCGTCTTCTGTTGGAGCGGGGGTGCCTGGATGGTGTCCCTGGGCTTTAAGGATGCTTATTGCAAGTTCCTATTCATCCGGGGTTCAGAGACTGGTTAGGTTTCATGGGTGGGCATCCGGCTTACCGCTTTCGTAGCCTTTCTCTTGGCTTGAATCTGGCACCTCGCGTATTCACGCATCTTACCTGGTTTGTGATGATCCGTCTCCAGGCAGTTGTGGCGCATATACCAAGTGAAGTTGTGGAGCATATACCAAGTACAGTTGTGGAGCATATACCAATTACAGCTGTGGAGGCTATACCAATTGCAGCTGTGGAGAGTGTACCAAACACAGTTGTGGAGAGTATCCCAAGTACAGTTGTGAAGCATGTGCAAAGTATAGTTTTGGAGCATTTCCGATCATGGTTGTGGAGCAGATGACAATGACAGTTGTTGAGCTTATTGCAATGACAGTCGTATAGCTTATTTAAATGACAATTGTGGAGTTTATGACATGTTCAGTTGTGGAGCTTATGATATGTTCAGTTGTGGAGCTTTTGAGAAGTACTCTTTCACTCTTCCTCCTGTTCTCACTCATTTATACATGTACATTCGCATTCTGCTAATGAAATAAATTATTTTATGGCATTTTCTTCCAGCCTCATGTGCCGGATATTGTGTGGCTACGTACATCCTGGGAATTTGTGACCGCCATAATGATAACATCATGCTGAAGACGTCAGGCCATCTGTTTCATATTGACTTTGGCAAGTTTCTTGGTGATGCCCAAAAGTTCGGGAGCTTCAAAAGAGATCGTACACCATTTGTGCTGACCTCTGATATGGCCTATGTTATTAATGGAGGAGAGAAGCCTTCAGACAAGTTTCAGAGTTTTGTCGACCTTTGTTGTAGAGCTTTCAATATCATCAGGCATAATGGCCAACTCTTGCTGTATTTGTTTGCTCTGGTAAGATTTATTAGTTTAGTTCATGCTTTATATTGTAACTTCAGTACTGTAAGTCAATATTTTAATAATACATATTACTTAATTTCTTAATTTCATGGGGTTGGGGTGACATCAGCTGAACCCCTAAAGTACTGCAATGGAAATAAACTCCTGCTTAAACACAAAAATAAAAAAAATCCAAGTGTTTTTTCTTATAGAATTATTAATATAGATTAAATGTGGGGAAAAATGGAAACAAACTAAATATATACATAAATATATACTGTATATGCTGAGTGTTATGTTGAGAGACAAAGTTTGAGAGACTGAGTGTTGAGACACAAAGTTTGCTGACACAGTGGCATGTGCTAAATGACTCCAGTGTTGACCTTGTATTTTGCTACAATTGTATTTATAATTATTAACTCATTCCCTATAGTGTTTGTGTTCAATAACTAAATTAATGTACATGTAATTTTCAAAACATGATTTGATTACATTACTTACTATCAGGATACTGCATTAGGCCTACAATTTTTGTATGGGTGTGTAAGTGTAATTACCTAAGTGTAGTTATAGCATGAGAGCTACGCTCATGGTGTCTCGTCTTCCCATACTCTCATATAACTTGTTGAAACTATTGAGGATTTTGGCCTTCACCACCTTCACATTTAACTTGTTCCAACCGTTTACCACTCTGTTTGCAAAAGAAAATTTGTAAACAAAATCTGCATCATTGTTTCCTTAACTTAAATCTGTGTGTCCTTTTGGTTTTGAAGCTGCTGGTTTCAGGAATTCCAATTTGTTAATTTGCTTGACTCCTGTTATTATATTGTAAGTGTTGATCATGTTGCCTCTTTTTCTTCTATCTTCTAACTATGGCATATTTAACACCACTAGCTTCTCCTCGTAACTCTTGTTTTTCAGTTCCGAAAGCCATTTTGTAGCATACCTTTGCACCTTTTCCAGTTTATTGATGTGCTTCTTGAGATATAGGCACCATACAACTGGGGCATATTCCTATTTTGGCTCAGAAAAAGTCATGAACAGTTTCTTTAGTATTACACCATCCATGTAATTAAATGCGAGTGTGAAGTTGGAAAGAGATGCATTCTCTCCTCTCGCACAATGTTCTATGTGTTCATCTGATGACAGTTGAAAATTCAAAATCTTCCCTAGATCTCGTTCTTTATTAGAGCTCTTTAATTCCTTTCCACATAATTTGTAAGTTGTGTGTGGTCTCTTTTCTTCAACTCCACATTCTGTAGCATGACATTTAATCACATTGAATTCCATATACCATATGTCGCTCCAAGCGCATGTTTTATCTAGATCAATTTGAAGGACATGTCAATCGTCTACGTCTCCTATCTTCCCCAGTATCTTAGCATCATACACAAACATGTTCATATAATTCTCTAACACTTCTGGTAGATCATTGATGTAGATGTGTGTCTGTGTATTCACCTATTTGTACTCACCTATTTGTGCTTGCGGGGGTTAAGCTTTGTTTCTTTGGTCCCGCCTCTCAACTGTCAATCAACTGGTGTACAGATTCCTGAGCCTACTGGGCTCTTATCATATCTACATTTGAAATTGTGTATGGAGTCAGCCTCCACTACATCACTTCCTAGTGCATTCCATTTACTAACTACTCTGACACTGAAAAAATTCTTTCTAATGTCTCTGTGGCTCATGTGGGTACTAACTTTCCACCTGTGTCCCCTTGTTCGTGTTCCACCTGTGTTGAAGAGTTTGTCTTTGTCCACCCTGTCAATTCCCCTGAGAATTTTGTAGTATACTCGCCTATTTGTGATGGCGGGGGTTGAGCTTTGGCTCTTTGGTTCTGCCTCTCAACTGTCAATCAACTGGTGTACAGATTCCTGAGCCTACTGGGCTCTATCATATCTACATTTGAAACTGTGTATGGAGTCAGCCTCCACCACATCACTGCCTAATGCATTCCATCTGTTAACTACTCTGACACTGAAAAAGTTCCTTCTAACGTCCCTGTGGCTCATGTGGGTACTCAGTTTCCACCTGTGTCCCCTTGTTCGCATCCCACCAGTGTTGAATAGTTTATCCTTGTTTACCCGGTCGATTCCCCTGAGGATTTTGTAGGTTGTGATCATGTCTCCCCTTACTCTTCTGTCTTCCAGTGTCGTAAGGTGCATTTCCCGCAGCCTTTCCTCGTAACTCATGCCTCTTAGTTCTGGGACTTGTCTAGTAGCATACCTTTGGACTTTTTCCAGCTTCGTCTTGTGCTTGACAAGGTATGGGCTCCATGCTGGGGCCGCCTACTCAAGGATTGGTCGTACATGTGTGGTGTACAAGATTCTGAATGATTCCTTACACAGGTTCCTGAACGCTGTTCTGATGTTAGCCAGCCTCGCATATGCTGCAGACGTTATTCTTTTTATGTGGGCTTCAGGAGACAGGTTTGGTGTGATATCAACTCCTAGATCTTTCCCTCTCTCCGTTTCATTAAGTACTTCATCTCCAATTCTGTATCCTGTGTCTGGCCTCCTGTTTCCACTGCCTAGTTTCATTACTTTGCATTTACTCGGGTTGAACTTTAACAGCCATTTGTTGGACCATTCACTCAGTCTGTCTAGGTCATCTTGTAGCCTCCTCCTATCATCCTCTGTTTCAATCCTCCTTATAATTTTTGCATCATCGGCAAACATTGAGAGAAACGATTCTATACCCTCTGGAAGATCATTTACATATATCAGAAACAGTATAGGTCCAAGGACTGACCCCTGTGGGACTCCACTCGTAACGTCTCGCCAATCTGAGACCTCACTCCTCACACTGACTCGTTGTCTCCTGTTGCTTAGGTATTCCTTTATCCAATGGAGTACCTTCCCTTTCACTCCAGCCTGCATCTCCAGCTTTTTCACTAGCCTCTTGTGTGGTACTGTATCAAAGGCTTTCTGACAATCCAAAAATATGCAGTCTGCCCACCCTTCTCTTTCTTGCCTTATTTTTGTTGCCTGGTCGTAGAATTCAAGTAACCCTGTGAGGCAGGACCTGCCATCCCTGAGCCCATGTTGATGCTGTGTTACAAAGTTCTTTCGCTTCAGATGCTCCACTAGCTTTCTTCGCACAATTTTCTCCATCAGCTTGCATGGTATCCAGGTTAGGGACACTGGCCTATAGTTTAGTGCCTCCTGTCTATTCCCTTGTATATCGGGACTACGTTAGCTGCTTTCCAAATTTCTGGCAGTTCCCCTGTTGCCAGTGATTTGTTATACACTATGAAGAGTGGTAGGCACAGTTCTTCTGCTCCTTCCTTTAGTATCCAAGGGAAGATTCCATGTGGGCCTGTAGCCTTTGTCACATCCAACTCTAGTAAACACTTCCTTACTTCCCCGCTGGTAATCTCAAACTCTTCCAGTGGTTCCTAGTTAGCTATTCCCTCTCTTATCTCTGGAATTTCTCCTTGCTCTAAGGTGAAGAGTGTGTGTGTGTAATTACCTAAGTGTAGTTACAGGATGAGAGCTACGCTTGTGGTGTCCCGTCTTCCCAGCACTCTTTGTCATATAACGCTTTGAAACTACTGACGGTCTTGGCCTCCACCACCTTCTCCCCTAACTTGTTCCAACCGTCTACCACTCTGTTTGTGAAAATGAATTTTCTTATATTTCTTCGGCATCTGTGTTTAGTTAGTTTAAATCTATGACCTCTTGTTCTTGAAGTTCCAGGCCACAGGAAATCTTCCCTATCAATTTTATCATTTCCTGTTACTATTTTGTACATAGTGATCATATCACCTCTTTTCCTTCTGTCTTCTAGTTTTGGCATATTTAATGCCTCTAACCTCTCCTCGTAGCTCTTGTCCTTCAGTTCTGGGAGCCACTTAGTAGCATGTCTTTGCATCTTTTCCAGTTTGTTGATGTGCTTCTTAAGATATGGGCACCACACAACCACTGCATATTCTAGCTTTGGCCTAACAAATGTCGTGAACAATTTATTTAGTATTTCGTCATCCGTGTATTTAACAGCAATTCTGAAGTTAGAAAGCGTGGTATAGGCTCCTTGCACGATGTTCTTTATGTTGTCCTCAGGTGATAGCTATCTATCTAGAACCACCCCTAGATCTCTCTCTTTATCAGAATTCTTTAAAGATTTCTCACATAATTTATAGGTTGTGTGGGGTCTATGTTCTATTCCACATTCCATAACATGGCATTTATTCACATTAAATTCCATTTGCCAAGTGTTGCTCCATATATTTATTTTGTCCAGGTCTTCTTTCTTCAAGGGCATTACAATCTTCTAGGTTTCTTATCCTTCCTATTATCTTCGCGTTATCAGCAAACATGTTCTTATAATTCTGTATACCAACTGGTAGATCATTTATGTAGACAATGAACAACAGTGGTGCAAGAACTGAACCCTGTCGTACTCCACTTGTGACATTTCTCCAGTCCGATAAATTGCCTCTGATTACTGTCCTCATTTTTCTATCAGAAAAGTTTTCATCCATGTTAAAAAGCTTACCTGTCTCCCCTCCAATATTTTCCAGTTTCCAGAACAACCTCTTATGTGGAACTGTCAAAAGCCTTTTTTAGGTCCAGATAGATGCAATCAACCCAACCAACTCTTTCATGTAAAATCTCTGTGGCTCGATCATAGAAACTGATTAAATTCGTTACACAGGATCTTCTAGATCGAAAACCCTACTGTCTGCCTGATGTTATATCATTTTTCTCCAGGTGTTCTACCCATTTAGTTTTTATTAGTTTTTCCAATACTTTCACTATTACACTTGTCAATGATATGAGTCTATAATTGAGGGGGTCTTCCCTGCTGCCACTTTTGTGTGTGTAATTACCTAAGTGTAATTACCTAAGTGTAGTTACAGGATGAGAGCTACGCTCGTGGTGTCCCATCTTCCTAGCACTCTTTGTCATATAATGCTTTGAAACTACTGACGTGTGTGTGTGTGTGTGTGTGTGTGTGTGTGTGTGTGTGTGTGTGTGTGTGTGTGTGTGTGTGTGTGTGTACTTACCTAGTTGTGCTTGTGGGGGTTGAGGAGAAGATAGAAGAAAAAGAGGTGATATGATCACCACGTACGAAATACAGGAATAGACCAAATTGACTAAGAGGAATGCCTGAAACCAGAAACTTCATGAACAAGAGAACACAGATTCAATCAAGCTAAAGAAACAGAGGTGCCAAAAAAATATGAGAATTTTCTTTTGCAAACAGTGGTAGACAGTTGGAACAAACTAAGTGAGAAGGTGGTGGAGGACAAAACCCTCAGTAGTTTCAAACTCATTTTACGACAAAGAGTACTAGAAAGACAGGACACCATGAGCATAGCTCTCATCCTGTAAGTACACATAGGTAATTACACACACCCTTGAGAATTCAAGATTCTCAAGGGAATCGATAGGGTAGATAAAGACAGGCTATTTAACACAAGGGGCACACGCACTAGGGGGGACAGGTGGAAACTGAGTGCCCAAATGAGCCACAGAGATATTAGAACTTTTTTAGTGTGAGAGTGGTTGACAAATGGATTGCATTAGGAAGTGATATGGTGGAGGCTGACTCCATACACAGTTTCAAGTGTAGATATGACAGAGCCCAATAGGCTCAGGAACCTGTACACTTGTTGATTGATGGTTGAGAGGCGGGACCAAAGAGCCGGAGCTCAACCCCTGCAAGCACAATTAGGTGAGTACACATCACTTTTGTAATGTCTTATTTATATAAGCAAAGGCAGCCAGCAAAAAATGATTCTCATTTAATGATCTTGTTCCTAGATGGCATCTTCTGGAATACCTGGAGTTACCTGGGATGCTGTGACCTATGTTGAGCGATCATTATTACAGGACAAAACTAATGCTGAAGCTGGTGCCATGTTTTCTCGCATGATTCAGGAGTCTCTCAAATCATGGTTCACACAGGTTTGTTTTCCTTTTTATTTGCATTTCATTTTGTTATAATAATTTTCTCTTTACATTACTAGAGTTATTTGTTAATTAAAATATGTTCTAATATCAGGACATTTCCACTTAGTTCCATTCTTTATTTAATTGTTACGTATGTAGTACTGTACTTGTATAAGCATTGCAGAAAACTATTTTCTTTTTAAATGTATTCATTATTCCAGCCATATGTAAGATCGACACATTTCCTTGTAAATATACTACTCATATTTGTAGATCTTGCCCATTATCTTTCACATAATAATACTAATAATAATAGTACTGTAATAATAATAATAAAAATCCCACCAGTATTTGTATGTATTTGTATTGTATTTGTATGAATATAAGCCACTCTCGATTTAAACTATCACTTGAAAGCCCCACACCAAAATTATGTTCAATTTTTCTCTAGATATATGCAGTAGTATATGCCAGTGTAACCCATTGCATTTACTGCTTAATGAATTCCCTAAAAAATCCCTATCTGCAGCTTTTCTTAAAATAAATATGATACCTGTGATTTTAATATGTGGATGCCTAAGTTTTTATTCTGGACTTTTTTATTCTGGACTTTTTTATTCTGGTTTTTATCCAGAGCTTAGAGAAGTTCAAATGTTGTACTCGCCTAATTGTGCTTGCGGGGGTTGAGCTTTGGCTCTTTGGTCCTGCCTCCCAACTGTCAATCAACTGGTGTACAGATTCCTGAGCCTACTGGGCTCTATCATATCTACATTTGAAACTGTGTATGGAGTCAGCCTCCACCACATCACTGCCTAATGCATTCCATTTATTAACTACTCTGACACTGAAAAAATTCTTCCTAACGTCTCTGTGGCTCATCTGGGTACTAAGTTTCCATCTGTGTCCCCTTGTTCGTGTCCCACCCGTGCTGAAGAGTTTGTCTTTGTCTCCCCTGTCAATTCCCCTGAGAATTTTGTAGGTGGTTATCATGTCTCCCCTTACTCTTCTGTTTTCCAGGGATGTGAGGTTCAGCTCCTTTAGCCTTTCCTTGTAGCTCAATCCTCTCAGTTCTGGGACGAGCCTGGTGGCATACCGCTGAATCTTCTCTAACTTTGTCTTGTGCTTAACTAGGTATGGACTCCAGGCTGGAGCTGCATACTCCAGGATTGGTCTTACATAAGTGGTATACAGGGTTCTGAAAGATTCCTTACACAAGTTTCTAAAGGCAGTTCTTATGTTGGCCAGTCTAGCATATGCCGCTGATATTCTTTTGATGTGGGCCTCCGGGGACAGGTTCGGTGTGATATCAACCCCCAGATCTTTCTCTCTATTTGACTCTTGCAGGATTTCCCCTCCCAGATGATACCTTGTGTTCAGCCTCCTGCTCCCTTCGCCTAATTTCATCACCTTACACTTTCCTGAGTTGAACTTTAGCAGCCATTTTCTAGACCATTCCTCCAATTTATCCAGGTCATCCTGTAGTCTCTGTCTATCTTCATCCGTCTTGATTCTTCTCATAATTTTTGCATCATCAGCAAACATTGAGAGGAACATTGTGGCCGAGGTGTAGTGTTTGCACTGTCACTCCCAAGCCTTTCCTTGTAACTGGCAAAGATGTTTCTCAACCTTGTCATCTGTAATGTATTGTCTAAAAATATCTTACTGGAATTTCAAATGCTTTCTTAGTGGACTTGCTAACATGTGGGATATACTTTGGTTTTATTTCATGCCAGCAGTCATTCCCTCTGCCTCTGCTAGCATCCTTGTGATATTGTTTATATTCCTTGTGCCATATGTCTTGTATGTTCACTGTCACTTGTTTTTTTTGTTCTGGCCGTGCCTTGTTGCACCAGGGTCCCTGTTTTTTGTTTTTCTGTTAAAAAACTGAGAAACATTGAGGGAATCACTGAAGGTGTTAGAAGTTAATGAATCTTTAAAAGCTTTAAGGGAACCATGGCACTTATGGCCATAGAGCATCTTATAGAAAGATACCCCAAGGGATACATTGGGAGTGTTTCTGAAAACAAGTCTGCGGAGGTCTAATTGAGTATCCCAATCTTTCACAGTACTGATACAGAACTTTTTAAGTAAAGACTTTATGGTCTGATAACTACGTTCTAGAGATTCTTGTGAAGCAGGATATTAAATTCCTGCAGAGTTTTCTTGACCAACTCACTGGTAGAATTGGTTCCACAGTCGTTTGACTTTAGTAAGGACTTAATAAACAAAATAAATGAATGTTTGAAGGCAGTAAAATTGAGAGAAATGTGTAGAGATGTCTGTACCTGGTACTCTAGTGAATATTCTCAACTATTGAGGATAAGGGCAAGAGGTTTCCTACTGAAGTTTCAGAAATTAACGGCAGAATCTACCATTCCTTGTGCTCTGTGACAGAATAGCAAACTCCCTACCTGAACAGTTAATCACGGACTTTGAACGAAGGCTTAGGGGTGTGGAGAGTGTCAACACTGATGGGAATATGGGTACGTGTCCCGAACTTGCAACAAAATTCTGAATGCAAAAGGAACTTTGACCCAATACTTTCTCAACAATTTCGTAATTCAAAGTAGAACCATATATAGTAGTTCAGAGACAAAGTACAAGATAAGTACCCGAGGGGGTGATCTGCCTTAATGAGTCACTTCAGCTGGGACAAAATTATTATGGGCAAGTAAGGTAAAGCAACAGCTTAGAAGATCGACCATTACGAGCATGAATTTGCGCATAAAACATCACGTAACCAAAAGTCAGTCTAATAAACATCACAAATTGCTACACTTGTAATGTAAATAGTTTGTCACCAATATGAAAGTGATTTTAAAATGAATACTTAAAAAGTGAAAGAGCCAAGTATGACAATTGACACAAACATTTAAGCAAAAGCTCATGTTGGCAGACCCCCATTTAATGTGATGGTAAAAGCTTCTATGACAGGCCCCCCATTTAATGTGATGTGACTCAGTAGTGCAGCTATACAGGTAGATGGAATGTGGCACGCACTTCGTATTAATAAAAATAAAAATGCCCCATTGGCCTTTGCAGTAGGAAAATTGCAAAGGAGTGAAGAAATACTCAAGTGAAAAATTGACAATTTACTCTAATATCAAAATGAACAGATAACATATGAAAAATATACAACACCCCTGAGTTGACAACTAGTTCAACCTCGATTCGGTGCACTATATGGGATCAACCCCAGTTTGTTGCAGGGTTGGATTCGTTGCAACAGGTGACCTTCAAGAGGCGTTTGCATCAGTGTGTCTCTTTTTTCTTGTACACAATAAAAATGCATTATCATATTATATACTGTACCTATATATTGCTACTCTACTAAAAAATACTGTTATAGTTTTATTTACCTTATTGTTGGAGTATGTTCATCTTGAATTCTTATAGAGTTTTGAATACAGAACAATAAATTTGTACAGTACTGTATTATGCAGTTAGCATTATATTATGTAGTTCTGCTGTATGTTGAGTACTACAATACAGTTTATGAAAACTATTGTACACTAAAATTACTGCAACTTTAATTTTAACACTTTAACATTATGTACAGCACTTAAATTAAACACATGTTCTAACTGTGTACCCCACACATGATGTTCTAGATGTTTGCATCAGCTTTGCTGGTGCTTGCTGCTGTTGTGTTGGTTTCAGCTGGCTAATGATTCTTCAGCAATTTTTTCTGTTCTTAATATTATGCCTATTCTTAAATCTTTCCAACCATTCTTCACTAGCTCAAAAATCTGGAATGTTTATCTTTGAACATCAATCACATGATCATGGATGGAATGGTGACTAACTGGCGGGCAGGCTTTCAGGCAGATGGGCGGCTATTTGGGCCGGCGGTGTTGGTGGGCAGCTATTCGGGCTGGGTGGGTGGATTTTGGCAGGTGGATGGACGGCTATTTGGGCTGGCAGTGTGCATGGGCTGCTATTTGGGCAGGTGGTGAGCGTGGGTGGCTATTCGGGTGGGGTAGGTGGATTTGGGCAGGTGAATGGGCGACTAACACCGAGGAACTAGGTTTATACACCCTATGGTAGGCTGAAGTTTAAGCCAGATCCAGTAACAAATTTCTTTCAAATATTGGATTTATATCATATATATTTTTGGATTATATATTTAGTTCAGCAACATTATTAGGATAATAAGAGTTATAAAAATACTTATTTTAGAAATGATTTATTAATTTTATTATTTCGAGGCCGTTACCTCGATTATCACTTATTATTACCTCAACTGAACTGTATTATTACCGCATGCAGGCGATGAGTCACAATAATGTGGCTGAAGTAGTTTGACCAGACCACACATTAGAAGGTGAAGAGACGACGACATTTCGGTCCGTCCTGGACCCTTCTCAAGTCGATTGTGTATTATTACCATTGGCAATGTATTATCATTATTATTACTATTACTATTATTATTATTATTATTATTATTATTATTATTATTATTATAATAACACTGATGGGAATATGGGAATATTCTCAAGTCGATTGTGTATTATTACCATTGGCAATGTATTATCATTATTATTACTATTATTATTATTATTATTATTATTATTATTATTATTATTATTATTATTATTATTATTATTATTATTATTATTATTATTATTATTATTTATTATTACATATTACATTATTATTATCACTACCATTATTATTATTCCACTGAACCATTATTATTACCTCCACTGAACCGTAGCGATCAATTTGAATGAAAAGCACATGGTGCTGTGTGTACAGGGAATAGACCAGTCTACCTGCGCTCGAGTTGTTTTGAAAGCTTGAGCCAATAACATAAATAATTTCTCAAATAGCAGATGTCTATTATATTACAGTATATTTTTTGTTTTAGTTTAGAAATATAATTTGGATAATAAAGAGCTATTAAAACACCGGTTTTAGAAATGATTTATTAATCTGAAGCTTTCAAAGTCATGGGTCACTGAACTATGATGACAAAGACGAAGGAAAACCAAGTGAGGTTTACAGTACTGTACAGTATATTCCCTTATCTTGTCATCTTGTTTCATCACAGAAAATGTAAGAAGATTTCAACACATGTAGCTAGTTATTCATGCTTCAGCCTTTAAATTTTTCCGTTATATGTGGCACCCTTCCCGATTGCGAGGCTGTTGGGGTTGACGCTTTCAGGCAGGACTGGTCAAGGTTATCTTGAGGTTATCTTGAGATGATTTCGGGGCTTTAGTGTCCCCCGCGGCTTGTTCGGCCAGGGGTGCATCATACTGTATGTTGGGTCCAGTTGCAGCTCTCCATTGTTATTTGCGCTTCACGGCCTCCGTGACCTGGGACGCGCATTGGGTTCATCCGGTTTCCCTTCTTCCCTGTTCCAGGGTTCAGGTCTCCCATGTCTTCCGCAGGGTTATTCAGTCCAGCCAGCCTGCGGTCTATCTCTGTGCCCACAACATTCGTAAGTTTGCTGTACTTGCTGCCGTCTTTGGTAACATGTCTTGGGTTGACATTCAGGTGCGGGGTTTTTGGCGGTCGAACAAGGGCCTGGCTGCACGTTACCTAGTTACTGTTTCTGGGCCTCAGTGGGCCTATGTCGCTCTGGGTCGGCAATTGCAGCCATTTGTCTTGACTTCGCGTTAAGGGGCGAGCAACAACCGCCTCCCGGGTAAGTCCCTGTTGGTAAGTAGCTCCGTGAGACCCGGAGGCTCCCCGGCAACCCTCGCTCCCTCCGGTCGGCGTTTTTTCACGTGTTTTTGATATCCAGCTTCAGAACTAGGATTTTGGGTAGCCAGCACAAGGGCGCCTTCTTTTCCCTTCCCGGGGAGGGGGTATCTGCACAGACGGCGACGTGGTGACGTCATGCTTGTTTGCTCGTTTTTGTTTTGGGAGTTCTCTCCACTAGTTCAGCTTTTAGTAGCAATTTCTTAGCCAGAATAGGGGGTTTGTTTTGGGAGTCTTACCTTTCCGGGTGTCTGACCCGGTCGATGGCAGACACAGAATGCTTCTAACCACATGGAGGTTTCTATAGGCCATTGCTCCTCGTGCGTCTCTGAGGGAGCCAGGTTATGGCTCGTGGTCCCCAGTAGGCCTATGAACTCCATTCACACTGATGGCAAAATCTAATATAAGTAATATCAGCCTGGATAGCTCCTTAGAGCCTCCGGGACACCCTCGGGACTCACCCAGAAAATGGTGTTTCATTACATTCAACGCTGTTTTTTTTTTTATAATTTTTAGGTGATGCTGTGGTCACAAGCTGAACAGCAGTGCTGTTAGCTCATGCTGCATGTGCCTGCCTTGGTTGCTAACTCAGTACTAAGGCTCTCACACCCGGGAATGTTGCCCACATTTTTTTTTAAATGGTGTCTGTTTACAAGAGCCCTGAGGAAGCTGATGTGAACCCTGTGTAGCCTTGGGACTTTTAAATCTTGCACAGTACTCCAACACATCAATAGCTGTGGTGTGCAATTCCGTGACAGTTATTGATGTGCTGCACAGTGTAAGGGTTAAGGCACTCTGTGCAGTACAGTAGTTAATGCACGTGCCTTCCTCGCCCCCATCACAGTTGACTTGATTATGGTTCAGGACGGACCGAATTGTCATCGTTTCCTCATCTTTTGGTGTGTGGTTTAGTCTTCATATCTTCATCCATGTTATTGTGACTCATCGTCTGCATATACAGTACAAAGTGCTGACCATCCTTGAATTTCATTTGTCCTGCTGGGAATATTGCTTGTGTTTTGTTTCTTTATTTTAATATTGGTTTCACATTCATGTTTTCTCTGGCTTTGGCTTTGTTATGTGGGCTTGGCTTCTGTTGCACTTCAAGCTGCCTGTGCTTGGGGTTTCCTACTCTGGGTGCTCAGTAGTGCTACTCTTGCACTGACAGAGTTGCCTCTGGTATGTTTGGGGTATATGTTCTCTGGTGTGTTCTTCATATAAAATTTCTTGGTAATACCTTTCCCATCAAATACCGTAATGGTATGTGAACACGGCAATAATTGTTGCACCAAAATCACAGTGATACTGTTCTTCATGTATGGGCAAAATGTTTTTCTCTTATTGGAAAGAAAACAGTCCCCTTATACCATAAACAAATTAAATGATAAATTAAATGAGGAAACTGTTATATTTTATCACGGTAACAATTTCTGCTTTTATTTAATTTCAGGTTAACTTCTTCATTCACAATCTAGCACAGCTGAGGTTTTCAGGGGATCATTCAGATGACCTCTTGTCATTCATCCCACGTACTTACACGTAAGTTACAGATATGCATAAGTTATTTTGTTATCTACTTATTATCTAGTTATCTACTTATTATCTAGTTATATATGCAGTAACTTTAATACAAATGTATTTAAGGGTTCGAGTCAACTTTACCCTTGAGCCATGTTTTCAGATTTATTGGTATATTTCATTGAAATATAGTTTTAAAACATAAGCATGGTCATTAAAAAATAAGTTTAAAAACACAAATAATAATAATAATAAACCACAGCAAATTTTTCAGGAGCCACTATTTTAGCTAACTTGCTGAGTTAACTCCATAAATGAATCACATCAGCCCTAGGAGTCTGTATTTTCTTTTGGAGACCAGAACCTGGCTAAAGGTTTCCTTTCACAGAGGCTAAAGGAGTAGGTGATTATGATTAACCTCATCAAGGAAACACCCAGAATATACAGTATAAGCTAAACAGTCAAATGCAAGATTCACAGAGAAACGAAGCAGCAAACAATTCTGTAAACAATCCACCCAGCAGTTAGGTCGAAACCATTAGTTACACTTGGCAACTGCCAAGTGGCAGCACTATTGGGAGCTCTGGCTACCCATGTCAAAAGAGCTCAGTCTTGTTGCTTACGTCCACTTCCTTGGATCACTCCTTGAATTGCTAGCCTGCAAGTCTGAATTTCAAGATAAGTATGAGCCATTCTTTAGACTTTGTCCTGTGGGTGCATTTGCATTGTGCATCATTTCTGGTATTAGTTTTTGCTTCACATGCATGTGTATACAAATTCAACTTGTGTAGAATTTGGTCAGTTTTCACCTTGAGGTGCACATGGTTTAGGGCTGCTCTTCCTTTGCCATGTTGGTGTTGTCCCTGCCCTGACAGTGACTTCTCTGGTGGACTTGGGAGTTCACCCCTGAGAGGCCAACCTCTCAGAATATCTCGCCCAGAGTGGTGCAAGTGTCATTGACTCCTCTGCGAGGCTCTGAGATAGGGGGCATTCGAGAGTTAATGATTAAGGGGGGTGCATTGGGTTTCATGTGTTTGTACATACAAGTGCTCCACTGACACCCTTTGGAGCCACGTTTATCCTAAAGTCTGCTCTTGGCATCAGTTTGTCTGGTTAGCATTCCTAGTGCCTGGGTGTCCACCCTGGTCCTTATGTTAAGGCCCTTTAAAACTCCATGGATCTTTGTGTGATTTGCTATGGATTGGCTTGCCATCCCACACTGCTTGTGAGTTCAAGTGATGTCCATCATCATTGCTACATGGCATGTCTCCTCATGCTGCTATTGGGTGGGTGATTCCATCCACCCAGAGGCCTAATGCTTGCCTTCACTAGGTCTCTCTTCTAGTAGAGCCTCCTAGCTCAGGTTTATTGGGCAGCAGCCACTTTATCGGTTTGTTTTTCCCATTGTTTGCTATTTGAGGCTAGGTGATCAAGTAGGTGCCCCGAAGTTGGCCTCTATTGTGTTTAGGGATTTGGTGTTGGAGGAGTTGGTGAATTCCATCTACTCAATGTAGTTCCATCTACTACTGCCCTTCCCTCACGTTCCCCACCTTCCCCAGTTTTGTCCAGCATGGCTCGCCAGACCTCTGGCCACCACCCTCCTTCTACACCTTCCCCATCTCAGCACCAGGCTCCAAAGTGTATTCACCTAGTTGTACTCACCTAGTTGTGTTTGCGTGGGTTTAGCTCTGGTTCGATCTTTTCCTAGAGTCTTCGCGTTTGGTCTTTCTGACTCGAGTCTATCACCACTTGTATGGTGAGCAGGTGGCTTCATTGATGGTGTCCCACCTGTGTGCTTCGTCTCGGCAGCAGTATGAAGTTTCCTGGCTGTCCTTCTGTTATTTCTTATCCCTTCGTAGATTTACTTCTGTCTCTGATAGGGTTGTCTTGCCCTTCCTTTCCTGGTCGTTCCAGGACCGTCATATTATGCCGAAGACTGTTGCCAGCGCTGCGGCACTGGCAAAGTTGCTGCAGTGTGCATTCGGCGTTGATGTAACTTCTGCTTCGTTCCACAAGCTATCTCGTGTGTTGTTTCACCTCCAGCATGTTCATGCGCTGCCTGAGTCGTTTTGGTCATAGGGTCGGGTTCTATCTCTCTCCTCCTTGGTTTGCGTTGGCCCCTTTAGTTAAGGATTGTTTTTCCAAGGCTCTCTCTTTCTGTTGGCATTGACCTCTGGGGGTCGGTTCGAGGAGCTTCGTGCTCTCTGGATCGGGTTTCTGCTCTTTTGGTCCTGGTGGTAGGTTTGTTCGTTTGAAGCCATCTCCTTCTTTTCTGGTGAAGAAAGAGACTGCTGCTTTCTGGAGGGGTCCTTGGGATGTTAATGCCTGATTGGTTAGGCCGGGGGTGCATCATGTGTTGTGTCTGGTTGTGGCCCTCCACGGCTACCTGTGCGTTACAGGGTCCGGGGCCAGGGATGCGCTTTGGATTGATCCCGTTTCCCTTCTTCCCTGTTCCAGGGTTCGGGTTTCCCAGGTCGTTCACAGTGTTATTCGGTCCAGTCAGCCTGCAGTCTAACCTCATGCCCATGATGTTCATAAGTTTGCTGCGCTGGCTGCCATCTTCAGTAACATATCTTGGGCTGACATTAGGGCATGGGGTTTTTGGAGGTTGAATAGGGTCCTGGCCGCTTGCTACCTAGTCGGGCCTGTGTGACATTGGGTCGGCGGTTGCAGCTAATTGTCTCGACTTAACGTTAAGGAGCGAGGGCTGACCGCCTCCCGGGTAAGTCCTTCTTGGTTTTTGTCTTTTGGTAAGTAGCTCTTGGGAGCCATAGGGACTCCCACCAGAAAACCAGCATTGAATGTAATGAAACGCCAGTTTCTGGGTGCGACCTGGAGGCTCCCTGCATCCCTCTGGTCGGCTTTTTTTTGCGGTTTTGACATCCAGCCTCAGAACTGCAGGGTGGATAGCCAGCGTCGGGGGGGGTCTGTGGCTCCCCCTTCCCCCTCCCAGGGAGGGGAAGGTGCGCAGACAGCGGCACAGTGACGTGGTGACTCCATGCTTGTTTTTATTTGGGGAGTTCTGTCCACTATTTTGACTTTCAGTATGAATATTTTAACCATAATAAGGGGGTTTGTTTTGGGGTGCTTACCTTTCTGCGTACCTGACTCGGTCGACGGCAGACATAGAATGCTTCCAATCACACTGGGGTTTCTATAGGTCATTGCTCCTCGTGCCTCTCTGAGGGGGGCCAGGTTCTGACCCGTGGTTCCCTGTAGGCCTAGAATTCTATACGCATTGACTGATGCCAGGGTCTAATACATTCATATCAGCCAAGTTAACTCCGGGGAGCCTTAGGGTCTCACCCAGAAACTGGCGTTCCATTACACTCAACGCTGTTTTTTTATTTTTATTCCCAATTTTCTATACATTTTGCATCCAAATTAATAATTCTATAAGAAAAGTATTTTTCTGAATTTTTTAAATTTTTGCTCATGGCAGACTTGACTATATTGATAGCTGCACTTAAGTGGTTAACTTATTTCTTACAGGTTATCACAAGATGGAAAAATTCATATGGTAAGGCTTTATAGCTATCAAAAGCGATACAACCCAAACAAGTACTATGTTTATATTTTGGAAGTAGAGCGAGAAGGACAGCGAGAACCATCATACCTATTTCGATCTTATCGTGAATTCTCAGAGTTTCATCAGAAATTGTGTCTGATTTTTCCACTAGCCAGAATACATGGGTAGGTACAGAATTTCATCTGCTGTACTTATTTTTAATGTAATGTATATTAACCATCAAAGTACATTACTGTGCATTCATCATAATGTGTTGTGTACTTGGTTTTATTAAATGATAGAATTCTGCTGTATATGTAGTGTTGAAGTGTGATGAGGCTGATTTCATGTTATACAGTAGATACTGTGGTATCCAGTATGGAAGATATGAGGAGTGGATGAGGAGGGTATTTTTGGTTATATTTATCCTCAAACTGCACACTGTTATTTTTGTTCCTTTCAAGGTGCACATAAAAAATTATAAATTCTTTCACCTTTTTTATATCATAAAACATTAATTCTTGATGTTGGGAAAAATACAAATAAATCTAATTACAATGTTTTAGTTTGGCTATAGTGAGGTGAAGAAATGTAGATGTCATATTCTGACAATTCATTTTTAAGTAAACTATTTGTAATCAATGGCTATATACCATTTGACACCCACAGGCGCATACAAAAAAAAAAAAAAACTTTTTTCTTCCTAACCTGTTAATTTGTGTTCACTGATCATGGGAAAAATAATAAAAAAATCGTAAGTGGCATATATTGCCCACTATAGGGTTGTAATGATCTGGGGCTCAGATCATACGACAGGGTAGCGGTGGGGTGGGGAAGTCTGGCAAAAAACAGGCGCTGACTCGGCGTGCGTCCCAGGCGGTCTGTTGATCGCCAGCTGTCAGGTCGGAGTTGCCACAAAGAGATAATTACCTAATTATTTCAATGTCTCTGATTTTTCGTAGTTTTTTTTGCTGTAATATTATTCAATAGTGTGTAGTGTGATATATTTATATAATAAAATGAGTGAATCATCGCTGTACTCAAAAATATGGTGTGCATATTGTTGATTCAATTATGTTCATCAAACAGTGAACAAATACTTTGTCGGTTATTACACTATATACACAGGTTATATATAAGTATCTGCATGTTTTGTTCACCATAACGAACCACTAAGTTGCTATTATAAGTCAAAAAGTAACGAGGAGTGACCGCCGTGTACCAGCCAGCCACTCACGCCCTCCCTCAAGTCACCTGACTCACCCACATTCTCCTCCCACAATACTGTTTTTGCTTTTATTCACTATATACAGGCGCTATATATAAGTATCTACATTCGTGTTCAGCATAATGAACCACTAAGTTGGTATGCTGAGTGGCAGTGGCAGGCAGTGGCAGCCCGCCACTGACTGCCACTCCCTCCCTCCCTCACCTCACCTGACTTGCCACCATTCTCCACCCACCATACTGTTTTTGCTTTTATATACAGACATTATATATAAGTATTTACATGTTTTGTTCACCATAACTGTACATCTAAGCTTGTATGGTGAGTAAAGGCACAAAGACGTAGGACCTCACACAGTCAGATGATGGCTGCCGCCCTCGAGGCCAGACGCCTAATATTTCTCCTCCAACAATACTGTTTGTGGTGTTATTACGCTATATACACACATTATATATAAATATCTACCTGTTTTATTCACCATACTTTTACAAGTAAACTTGTATGGTGCCCAAAGACCATCGTGGTAACCAGTAAACATCACCGTCGTCTGCACGGTGGCAGACGACGCCACCGCCCTCACCAAAATGGCGGCTCCCAACCTACTCCTCTTGCTGTTTATACCCTCTATACACACGTTATATATAAGTATCTACATTTGTGTTCACCATAGCGAACCACTAAGCTGGTATGGTGAGTGCAGTCAATAAAAGGTGGCCACACACAGTCAGAAGACATCGCCACCACCCTCCTCCGCTGACCGTCAGAGGCGGTCAGCGTCACCCGAGCTGACAGGTGGGAGTTGCCACAAAGATATTATTACCTAATTATTTTAATGTCTCAGATTTGTTCTTAGTTTTTTTTTGCAGTAATATTATTCAATAGTGTGTAGTGTGATAGATTTATATAATAAAATGTGTGAATCATCGCTATACAGTACTCAACAGTATGGTGTTCATATTAGTGGTTCAATTATTACGTTCATAAAACAATAAACAAATAGTTTTGCAGTTATTACATTATATACACACATTATATATAAGTATCTACATGTTTTGTTCACCACAACTGTACAACTAAGCTGATGTAGTTAGTTCAGGAACTAAGAGACATCGCTACACTCAGTCAGCTGGTGGCTGCCTTCCTCACTCATTCAAGGTCAGGCACACTAAATTTCTCCCCCAACAATACTGTTTGGGGTGTTATTACACTATATACACACATTATATATAAGTATCTTCATGTTGTATGCACCGTAACTGTACACCTAAGCGTGTAGGGTGCATAGTGGCCACCCTCTACATAGCTAGACAAGTCATGCAGATGACGCCACCTCCGTCACCCAAATGACTCCTCCCAACATAATCCTTTTGCTGTTATTACACTAATACACACACGTTATATATAAGTATCTACATTTGTGTTCACCATAGAGAACCACTGAGCTGGTATTGTGAATGCAGACAATAACAGGTGGCCACACAGTCAGTAAACGACTCTATCTCTCTCCCTCCCACAGTATTACTACTCCCACACGTGCTAATTGTCACAACAGTTCTGCTATTATCACAGTCCTGGTCATTTTTATCACAGGAGTCATCTGTAATATTGTCATCGCTAAATAATCGCAGTTACATATTTGTTTTGACATTTTTAGGCGATGCTGTGGTCACAAGCTGAACAGCAATGCTGTTAGCTCATGCTGCATGCACCAGCCTTGGTTATTCCAACAGTACTGTGGCTCTCTCACTGGAGAATATTGCCCATGATTTTTTTTAAACATGGTGTCTGTTTGCAAGAGCCCTGAAGAAGCTGATGTGAATCTTGTGTAGCCGCGGGCCATTTGAATCGTGCCTGGCACCCTATGACGTATATTTACGCCATGTGCACCGTGGGTCATGTTACTCATGGCATATATATATATACGCCATGCGCAGTTTAAGGGTTAAGAAGAAATTTTTTTATTTTTTATTTTTTTTTGTTATGCACCTGTGGGTAACAAAGGTCAAATAGCTCTTAGCAACACAAGGGTTAATGAAATTGCTGAGGCCTGGCAGAATCGAAATACCTTTAGAGAAATATGGATAACATACCTGCAGGGCCTGGTTGTCCGGGACTGTCCCTCGTCTGGTTGAGCGCTGAATGTGTGAGAGTTTTTCTTTTAGGTACTCTATGGTCGTAGAGATTGGTTTTAGGAGCACTATAATCTCCGTTTCCTCTGGCAGGAAAAACCGACTTCAAAATGGGTCTCCTATCCCATCATTGACTGTACTAGTGGTGTGATGTCGTGTATTTCGAGTAGGTCCTCCGGGTCTGGGGAGAGCGGGAGGTACTTCATTGTGGTTGAACCTGCCCCTGTCTAGACCCCCCTGTCTCTCCAGACACCGTGTAGAGTGCCTGCAGGGAGCTGTGGACCTTGCTCATACCTGAGCAGGGTCTCTGTTAGTCCGTTTTCCCACTCCTCTCCTGAGACGTGGGAGAGAGAATCCTTGAGGGTTTCAATTATTGCTGCTGCTGGTAGGAATTCAGAGACTGCGGTATGATGGTCAGTTTGTCTTTTCGCCTTTGAAAAAAACCCTTTTGTTGAGAGTTGATTTGGTGAAGGTGCACGTGCCCGTTTCGTCCTTGATGCGCCGATCTCCATGTTACCCAGATTGTTGGCTTCACAATTCATCATAAAAAACAACTCCTGACACTTGACACAGAAAGAAATGGGGAAAGAAACTATGTTTATAGGTTTGTTCTTCCGTTTTTGGCTTCTAAATATGTGTGAAATGTGAGGAGATACAAAGAATAGTATTCCTCCCAGAAATGGTGTCCGAGTCCCGCTCACTCCAAGAGGAGGATCAGGGAAAATTGTACTGTATTGATTGGGTGAAAGAGCTATTATTTGTCCCGATTTTCGTGCTTCAGAATTCCCCCTGGTTAGAGGAGAGGGAATAATGTTGGGGAATGCGAAACTGGGTACAGCCGACTGTTTCGTAGGACCTTGGTCCGTTACTCTTTAGCCCTAGTGATGCAGAATTGTGTTGTCTAATTTCATAATTGTGTTGTCTAATAACAATAATTTCAGAATTTTGTTGCATCTAATTTTGATCGAATGTCATCCAACTAGAATATTTATGAACTTTATTAGGAATATTAGAGGCACATTAAATCATTCACAAATGACAGGAGCAGTTTAAGGTTTAATGTTTTTTTTCCTGTTTGTCCATATTATATGCCATCATGTTTGTTAGCAAATAGGTTGCTGATGCACTCAGGTCACAGCTGAAAGGTTCTGGGTTCAATTCCCTTGGCAGGACAGAAATGTTTGGTCAAAATTTCCTTCCTGATGCCTCTGTTCACCTAGCAGTAAATAGGTATCCAGAAGTTAAACAATTATTGTGTGTGTTGCATCCTGAGTAAAGTTTTAATAGTTGGGCTACAGGAATCTTGATGAGCCTAACAGGCTTCTTGTCCACAACTATGGAAAACGATAAGGTGTTTCAAGGAAAACCATATGGGACAATACCTTACAGATATAATTTAAACTAGTTGGCATTTCATAATTGAATAAATAATTTAATTTTGTATTTTGTGTTAATGCATTTAGTATTACATGGCATCATCTGTTATATCATATGTACAGATATTTGTTAGCTATTCCATTTTGTTGCTTTCTAAGACAAGATCCTCCTGGTTCTAAGAAAAGGATTATGCTCAGTCAGAGCAGGTCAGCATTCTGTACCACAGCAGCAAGAATCTTTTTGAATTATCCTTACCAAGTTATTTAGGTGCTAAGGACACACTGGAAAATTCTCAGTCCATCCAAGAATGTAAGTACATTCATGAACATTCAAAGCATTACTAGTGCAATTTGACATAATAGGGACCATCAAGCAATGCTCTTGCTAACTACTGGTTGGCTTGCCAACATGACATCAACTGGTATTTAGCAACATGGCAATAGCCTTGCATGGCAATCCCTGTGTTGCTAAGTGGTGCTTGAAAGGGTTTAGAGGTTATTTGAATGTTCCTGCTAGAGATCATAATAGGCTGGTTTATGTATTAGTCATTGTCTCCCTAAGCTCAATATGATTTGACAGGGATGTTTAAGAGGCTTTCCGTTTGTAGGTACAGAATGATGATCCGGCCAGGTTGCATTAGATCCTATCCATAGACAGACAGGGTTTTACCTTTTGGAAGCAACCGAGTGTCATGTACAAAGAGAAACACCTCTTCATATAATGCACAAAAAATTAAATTATAAATTAATCAAATGGCACCTGTATACTTGTACAGGATATAATTTGTTTTATTTTTTAAAAGCCTTCCGAAGGGTGTCCAGATTGGACGCTCGGAGGTGAAAGCTGTCGCAGAGAAGCGAAAACTCGAGATCGAACTCTTCCTGGCCACGCTGTTTGACCTGGCCCCAGAGATCTCTCACTCAGACCTGGTTTACACCTTCTTCCATCCATTGCTGAGGGACCAAGAAGATACAGACATCCATATTAAGAAGCTAAAGAATAAGGGTAAATATTTTTGTTAATTTTTTAAATGGCATAGGCTTTATTGGCTTAGGCACAAGAACAAAATATGCAAAGAAGGGAAGGGAGCTATCGGGAGAAAGCACCAAGCCATTACGGCTATACAGCACTTGGAAGGGATCAGGATAAAGATTTGGGATGGGATGGGGAATATGCAAACAAAATGCAATGAAGAAAAGGCTAATAATAAAATAGAGGAATTTAAAGGTTAGTATTTGCTAATACAGTACACCGTCCCAAATCCCGACTTCCCTATTGTTTAGAATCCTTCTAAACAACGGGTAAAATCCAGTCCGCACATTTCTCATCTGAAATTCAGAATTCAAAAATTACCCAAATTGTCAGTTATCAGACCCCCAGACCCTCCGTGCTGACTACTCAGCAACCCCAGTTCGTTGGCTAATGCGATCTAGGGCGATCGTCAACTCTCGCCTCGATTTCCTGGCAATGTTTTGCCTTAGTGGAGTTCTCTGTGACATAGTGGTGTGGTAGCCAGGTGTAAATAAGGCTATTGGGGCTGCATGTGCTTGTAACGTATCGGAAATGAACCAAATGGAAAGAAATGAAAAATGTAATAATGTGTGAGGGTTTGGGGTGAGGGAGGTAGAGAGGTAGAAGGGAGGTGGGAGAAGTAAGGAGTATGGGAGTAGCAAGGTGAAAGGGAAAGTAGGAAGAGAGGCAGAGGGAGAGACCGAGAACACGGAGAGGAGTAGAAAGTAGAAATAGAAGGTAGAAAGGGCTGCCACCGTCCATTCTATTCAGTATATACAAGACAAGGAATGGAACTTGTCTGTACTGCAAAATTATCAAATGTTCACATTATCAACTGTAATCATGTACTTGTACATGCAAGAATCATTAAGTCAATAGACTTAGAGTGCTCTACACTCTAGCTTGCAATATATCAGAAAATCCAAGATCTAGGGAACAAAATGAAAGACAATTTAAACAATAAATTCATCAATTATATCTTTAACATGATAAGTATCATAATTCAGGCAATTTAACTTAATGTTCACTATGTCAAGATTAATATACAATATGAGTCACTACACAAGACATTGAGACCACTATGGCTGTCTGCCCCTGAAATCACACAACACCTTCAGTTGGAAACATCAAATTTGTCACCATACAGTTCACTCACCAAGTGTCTAAGCCTAAGATGGATAGAGAGGGGGTGGAGGAGGTTGACAGGTAGTCTCTCCCCCCCCCCCTCCCCCCTGTCTGGCCGACAGCCTGGTCTCGGCTGCTGTTCAATCGTCCAGCCTCTCTGTCTGCTCTGTTCTCTGCTGATCCTCCTGGATGTTCAGTTCCATGGGAATTTATGTGGGGACCCAGGAGCTAGCTCTGCCTACTAAATTTATAACCTCAGGCCATCTCTACCTACCACGCCTGGACAGCGGCTTGTTTGATGTAAAGACACCACCAACTGTCTGCAATTATAAGCTTAGCAGATGCAAGGTTAATTCACACGACCTGACCCCTGGTCAACTTCTGGTCATTAACACTCTAGAGGTGTGACTTTTTAATTGCTAAGGTCAGACAACCTGGCACCTCTCAAATATCCTGTGTGCTGACTCATGTTCTATGTGAAATATTAACTAAACACCTTTATGGTCTTACACGCTTAGGGTGGCCTTCCCTAAGCGCCCTGTTAGTATTACCCCTGGGTGCTAGGGTTTTCTCCCCTTCTGCCTTCGGGACTCCATTTCCGTAGTTATTTTTCTGCTCAGCATTTATCCCGCCCTTGGGACAAGCTGGGGTTTCGTGGCCATTGTTTGGCCTTGGGTAGGAAGTGATACTGTTGCTGGTTGGAGCGTAAAGGTGTTGCGCACCCAGCTTACCTATGCAGCAGCCGGTTCTTGTTTCCTCTGGGGACGTTGTACTTTTACGGGGTTTTTCTTTTATTTCTGTTTTTTGCCTGGTGGGGGCCCCTGCCTTGTGTGGCTATAGGATCACTTATATTGTTTTGGTGCCCCTCTGCTAGGTTCCTGTGATTGTACATGTCGCAGGGGTTTCAGCGTTTTGACCATCCCCTTGTTAGCTTTTGGTCCTAACCAGTTAGCAACACCTTGCCCAGGCTTCCCGTATCAGCCCTGGAAAAACCTGTCGGGGCTTGGTGAACCTATGGATGCGTCTTCTGAGTTCCAGCCTGCCTTGTGCGAGTTTGAAGGTTGCTGTGTGGCCTTGTCTCTGGGTGACAGTCACCACTTTTGCCTCCGTCATGCTGCCTGTTGAGTCAATGACACCTTTGACCTGGAGTCTTGCGAGTCGTGTTCTCTGCTTGTTCTCCAATTTACCCATTCTGTTAACATTGATATTCGGGTACAGACGCCATCTGCGTTGCATGCTATGTTAGGCTGCTGCAATGCACTAGGTTGGGTGCCCTATAGAAAGAAGGGCAAGGGCAGTAAAGGAATGGAGAACTATGGAGGGTCCCATTAGAAAAAGGCATTTCAGTACATTTAATGCTGAATTTCTATACGAGAACTCTCTACAGCTTCCTGCTATCTCAACACAAAACTTGATAAAGAAAATAACCGATACAAAGAAATGATGAGCAAAATTCGCCTGGGCTTACCCGTGGGGATAAGAGAGAAGTGGTTAATCCAGTCAAGACTCAGTGCCAGGTCAAAAGTACCCAATGCCAGTCAAACCTGGCTGATATACTGATATATAAAATGTTAATTAACCCATAATAAAGGCCTTTTATGAATTATTGATTCACTAATTGACTAGTGATACTATTCTGTACTTGCAATGTAGAGCTAGTCTAGAAATCCTTTTGTATTACTTGATGTACTCTTTCTAGATACTCGCACATCGCTGCCTCCAGCCATACCGAGTGTACCAGGGCAAGTGCAGGGTCAAGTTAAAGTCAGTGTCCAATATCTTAGAGGCCAGTTGCAGATCATGGTTCATCATGCCCGTAATTTGTCAGTTATCAGTACTGGTCAAGAACCTTCACCCTATGTTAAGCTGTATCTGCTTCCAGACCCACACAAGAAGACAAAAAGGAAAACTAAAGTTGTTAAGAAAACCTGTCACCCAATTTTCATGGAACCAGTAAGTACATATAATAATTTAGAACTGTGTAAATATAAAATGATTACACCAAAAATGCAATTCTTCTACATGAATTTTTACATAGAAATACTTAAAATATGTAATTATTATCCGAGTAATTACAGGATGAGAGCTATGTGCATGGTGTCCCCATCTACTATATATTTTTTGTCAAGTGTTGCTTTGTGGCTATACTGACAGTTTTAGCATTTACCACATTCTCACTTAACTTTCTGGAGGGAGCCCCTACGGCTCCCCGGAGCTATCCATGGCTGATATGGATACCCTAACTATTTTGCATCAGTCAATGTGGGTGGAGTTCTAGGCCTACCGGGGACCACGAGCCAGAACCTGGCCCCCTCAGAGAGGCACGGGGAGCAATGGCCCATAGAAATGCACATGTGATTTGGAGCATTCTATATCTGCCATCGACCGGGACAGGCACCCAGAAAGGTAAGCGCCACAAAACAAACCCCTATTCTGGTTAACAACAAAAATCGACAAACGAGTGGACAGAACTCCCCCAGGAAAACGAACTAACAAGCATGACATCACGCGAGTCGTGCCGCATGTCTGCGCAGCTTCCCCCTCCCCGGGAGGGGAAAGGGGGAGCCCCAGACCCCCGCGCCGGCGATCCCCGCCCCAGTTCCTCGGCTGATGGGATAATGCACGGTCGTGTGGCTCCAGCTCTGGTCTTGTCTCAGTGCTGTGACTTGTTTGCAGTGCTGCTCTTATGGTGGTCGTGTGAGCTGGGAGTAGTATTCTCGAGTATTCGGGCTGCATGTGCTTAGGGTCACCTTCCCCGAGTGCCCTGTAAGTACTGCCCATGGGGCTTGGGGTTGCCTTACACAAGTCACCTTGGGTCTACTTCTGTTGGCTTTTCACTGCTTGGCATTTAGCCGCCCGAGTGTTTGGGGGTTTTCCTCCCTTGTTTACCTTGGGGTAAGTGGTAGTTATAGCACTGGTGGGGCGCAGGGTACTGGGTAGCTAGTTTTCACCTATGACAGCGGCCGGCTCTGTTCCCTCTGGGTACGTTGTCCACTTGTGTGGTTTTTCTTTTATATTTGTTTTTGCCTGGTAGGGGGGTCTGCCTTGTCCCCCCCCCCCCCCCTTATATTAGGGTCGTTTGTGTAGTGGCAGCCCCCTGCTTCGTCCTCACGGGTGGACACGTCCCGTGGGTTAAGCTTTAGCAGTTTGCTTGGTAGTTTGGGGCGCCGGTTAGCAGTGCCCTGCCTGGGATAACCCTTAACAGACCCAGTCTAGGGGCCCTGGGAAATCCCCCGGGGGCTCTCGGGTCCGATAGTGGAGACCCTTGCGTCTCCTCTCGCTTTGTGCGAGTTGAGGGTTGCTCTGTCCCTTTGTCTCAGGGTGACTCTCCTTGTTTTTGCCTCCGTCATGCTGCCTGTTGGGTCGGTGACACATTCAAACCTGAGTCCTGTGAGCTTTGCTGCTTGTTCGTGACTCCATTCACCCAGTCTGCTGATGAATTCCCGTGGGTGCAGGCAGCTCGCGCGTTGCAGGGTAGGATGTTGCAACGCGCTCAGGTTTGTCGCTTCCCCGGATGCCCCGGTGCTGCCCCTCTTGTGTAGGGTCCCAGACTTGGGGGTTTTGGTTGCTTCGGCCATGGTTCTTCCACGCCCCCCTTGTTTTTTCCCTTCCTGCTTCCGGCCCCTATGCGTCTGTAGGCTTCAGGGTCGGGGCGGGATTAGAGGTTCTGAGACTTGGGCAGTTTCGGGGGTTGCCCCGTCCGGGGTAGCTGCAGAGGCATTCGAGTCTGTTCCTCCGGCCGATGCTCCGGGGTCTGACCAGTGGGCCCCTTCTCTTCCAGCTCTCTCTGCTGCCCTGGCTTTTTCTTGTGGGGCCGGGGCTTTGGAGGTCGACTCGGCCCCGGGGCCTGGTGTAGAGGCTCCTGGGGTTGGGGAGGAGCGGCCTTGGGGGCCTTGGGCTCCATTGCGCCCCGCCTGGATTTCCGTCCTTCTGAGCGGGGCTTACTGTTGCGAGGAGTGTGGGTTTTCTTTCCCCCCTCTGCGTACGATTTGGGCTTGGGTTCTGCTCCTGCCTGGGTTCGGTTCCGTGTCCCTGTGGTTTTCTTCGGTTCCATCTTCCGGAGGTGATCGGCTAACCGCATCTCTTCTCCTGCGGTGCGGTTGGCCTTTGCGGCTTACCTCCTGCGTGTCCCGGAGTTTGCCTCCATACTGGTTCCTTCTTTTCTGGACAGGTTGGGCTCCTTGTAGCCATTTGGGCTCCTTATAGCCGTTTGGGCTCCTTTGTAGCCGTTTGCGCTCCTTGTCGCCGTTGGGCTCCTTGTCGCCGTTTTGGGCTCCTTGTCACCGTTTTGGGCTCCTTGTCGCCGTTTGGCTCCTCGTAGTCGGTTCAAGTTCCAGAGCCTAGTGGGCTCCCTTCCTTAGTGTTTTTCACGGCTGCCCCAGGGTTTTTCTTGACACTGGGGCTTTGAGGGGGCAGCTTGGTCCCGGGTCCTGCAGGGTGGGTTCCCGGGGCTGGGGTGGGGCTAACGTGAGGGGCCTCAGGCCCCGTTGGTCCCCGCCGGGCTATTTCTACCCCTCAGGGCGGGGCTTGCAGTTTTTGTGGTGTGGGGTTTTTCCGTTCCCCCTCTCCGCATGTGCTTTGTGGGCGTCGGCCGCCCCCTTGGGCTCGGTTTCCTTATCCATTGTGCCCGTTGTTTCCGTCCTGTTGGTGGGTGCTTTTCTACGGTCTTCGCCCCTTTTTTCCGGGACGGGCCTTCTCCGTCATGTCCCCCTCTTCTTGAGGTTTCTGCATGACTTTTGGTCTCGGGTGCGACAGGGTTTTTGTGCCTTCGTCCTTTGTGTTTACTTCTTTTTGTTCTCGAAGGTTTGGGACGGTTTTGCTCCTTCCTGTTTTCTGGTGCGTCTGTCGTCATTCGGTTGAGCTTCCCTCCGGTCCTTTCTAGCCTTTCTAGGGCTTGTGGGTCCTATTCCCGGCAGCTTCTGGGTGTTTGGCCTTCTTGTTCTTTTGTGCATATCTCTTCTCTTCGCGCTGTCTCAGCACTACTCGTTTTCCTGGGGGTGATTTTGCTCCTCTTCATGAGTCTTTTCGCTCCTGCCCTTCTGTGGGATGTTGGTGCGGGGCGGTTTCTTACGTGGGTTCCTTCCCTGTCGGCTGCACTTGTGGCGGTGGCCTTGCATGCTTGTGTCATTTTGGTTTTGGTCCTGCATTTTCTTTTCCCTCCTGAGGCTGTCATAGGATTGGCTTGCGGAGGATGTAGAGGCGCTTGGGGCCGTTCCTGGGTCTGGCACCTTGGTTTCTGCTGCTAGCTTTCGGTATCGATGTTCCTTCTGTGCCGTTTCGCAGGCTGTCTCGTGCGTTGTTTCACCTCCGGCCTGCTTATGCACTGCCTGTGCCGTCCTGGTCTTTGGACAGGGGGCTCTCCTACTTTTCTTCTCATTGGTGGTTGGGTCAGGTTTGCTTTGCCTCGGCTCTCTTTTTATGTTGGCATTGGCCTCTGGGGGTCGTGCGGCAGAGCTTCATGCTCTTCTCAGGCACAGTGGTTTTTGGCTCCTATGGTCATGGTCATAGGTTTCTTCGTCTGCGGCCGTTCTCCCTTTTTTTGGCGAATGATGTGCCTGCTGCTTTCTGGAGGGGTCCTTGGGTTGTAATCTCGACTTCGTGTTGAGGAGTGGTTCACCGACTGCCACCCGGGTATGTCCCCTTGTTTTCTTAGGTAGTCTTTGCTGAAGTAGCTCCGGGGAGCCGTAGGGGCTCCCCCCAGAAAACCAGCGTTGAATGTAATGAAACGCCATTTTCTGGGTGAGTCCCGGAGGCTCCCCGGCACCCTCCCGCCCTCCGGTCGGTGTTTTTTTGCGGTTTTGATATCCAGCCTCAGAACTGGGGCGGGGATCTCCGGCGCGGGGGTCTGAGGCTCCCCCTTCCCCTTCCCGGGGAGGGGGTTATCTTGAGGTTATCTTGAGAGGATTTCGGGGCTTTAGTGTCCCCGCGGCCCTGTCCTCGACCAGGCCTCCACCCCCAGGAAGCAGCCCGTGACAGCTGACCAACACCCAGGTACCTATTTTACTGCTAGGTAACAGGGGCATAGGGTGAAAGAAACTCCGCCCATTGTTTCTCACCGGCGCCCGGGATCGAACCCGGGACCACAGGATCACAAGTCCAGCGTGCTGTCCGCTCAGCCGACCAGCTCCAGGGGGGAGCTGCGCAGACATGCGGCGCGGCTCGTGTGATGTCATGCTTGTTAGTTCGTTTTCCTGGGGGAGTTCTGTCCACTCGTTTGTCGATTTTTGTTGTTAACCAGAATAGAGGTTTGTTTTGTGGTGCTTACCTTTCTGGGTGCCTGTCCCGGTCGATGGCAGATATAGAATGCTCCAAATCACATGTGCATTTCTATGGGCCATTGCTCCCCGTGCCTCTCTGAGGGGGCCAGGTTCTGGCTCGTGGTCCCCGGTAGGCCTAGAACTCCACCCACATCGACTGATGCAAAATAGTTAGGGTATCCATATCAGCCATGGATAGCTCCGGGGAGCCTCCGGGACTCACCCAGAAAATGGTGTTTCATTACATTCAACGCTGGTTTTTTCCAACTGTCTACCACTCTGCAAAAGATAACTTTCTAATATTTTTCTGGCATCTTTGTTTCCTTAGCTTGAATCTATGACCTCTTGTTCTTGAAGCTTCAGGTTTGAAGAATGCCTCTTTGTCAATTTTGTTGGTTCCTCCCGCCAAACACATACCGAAACTATGACGTTGGTACAACATTCGATCAGGTTTTAACACCTCCTAACCATTTATAACAACTAATATAGCAAGTTGTAACAACGTTCTAATACGTCATAAACATGTTAAGCCAAGATGTAACAACTCTATTACAAGTTGTAACAAGCGGAAAATAGACACAGTTTCGGTTTGTGTTTCCAGGGCTGATACTATTTTGAAAATAGTAATCATATAGCAAATTTAATACTACTAGCCTCTCCTTGTAGCTCTTTTTTTCACTTCCAGAAGCCATTTAGTAGCATGTCTTTCCATCTATTCCAGTTTGGTGATGTGCTTCTTAAGATAAGGACACCATAGCGATATGTGCATGCTAAAGGGAGGTTTACTTTTCAGGCTTGATTCTCTTCTTTCAGGTAGTACTAGGTACTTTCAGGTTTCAGGGCAGCTACTAATACCAACTTTTCATTACTGTCATATCTGCTGTTTCCCTCATATAGAGCAAACTTTCCTTATTAACTATTTTTGTCCCTCAGCTTTATCTTATCTGGGACAATTACGTAACAAAACTGTTAAAATATGCAGCTTTTCTGGGGGAAGCCCTGTCGGCTCCCTGAAGCTATCCGAACTGATATGTGCTATATTAGTTTGAGGTCATCAGTCACAGGAATTCTTTAGGCCTACCAGGGACCAGAGCCAGAATCTGGCTCCCTCAGAGAGGTGCAGGGAGTAATGGTGTATAAGCACTTTACATTTAAAGTATGTCATATTCTGCCATCGACCAGGGCATTTACCCATAAAGAAAAGTGAACCAAAACAAACAACTAGCCTGGAAAACTACTACCTACTGCTAGAAAGAGCAAAGAAACTCCTGCTGAAAGAAAAGAAAAGAAATGAAATTAGAAACCCTCTTGTCAACTAGTACTTCTGCTTGTTAGCATAACCCATCCCCCCAACTCCAGTGAAGGGGGAGGGAGAGCTGGCCACCACCACCTCAGCTCTTGACTGACGTGCTTGGCGGTCGGCGGTCACCTCTAGCCTCACTTTCCTGTTTGTGGCCATACCAGCTGTGTGTGTGTGGTGTGCTCGTACCCAGCACGAGCACAGCCGTACCCAGCACGAGCACAGCCATACCCAGCACGAGCACAGCTGTATAACATATATAATAATATACACATCATATAATATATACACATCAGCCGAGAAAGAATTTCCTTTTGAGTTTACAAAAAATTAACATTAAGAGGACATAAGGAGAAGTTTGTTTTCTAGAGGTTGTAGATTTCCTTGAATTCCTCCGACGCCGGACAGGAACCGAGGATGCAGCGGGCATTTCCCCTCTGGATCGCGACACTGAGGCGCTGGAAGAGAAAACTTGCTGCTCTAGGGTCTCTTTGTAGTGTCAATGAGCCTGTAACCAAGATCCTCAAGAAATCTTCTTGAACTCTCTCCCCATGTTCCTAGGGTCTCAGATCCTATTGGAATGAAGTTGTACCGGTGATCTAATTCCCTGTACTTGGTTGACTGGTATCTATCTCTTTGTGTTGCCGCAGCTCCTGCTTGGCCAGCAGAGAGGTTGATGTATGTGGTTGCCAGGGTGGATACGCAAGTATAGTCCCACGCCACGTGTCTGCCACCCTTCCAAGGGCACAGTGTGATTCCATCTGGTCAGCTGGCAAAGCTAACAGAATCACGGTTCAATAGATTGTGGGGCTCTCTCTCCGCTGGACACTGGGCAGAGGCAAGGCTTCTCTTAATGATATCAATGACTTCATCATGTCTAGTGTGCCAACCACCAGATTTTCCACAGTGAAGCCATGCAATCCATATTCATCAGCATCTGCCTCGCTGCAAATACACCTGTGAACAGTGTGGATAGGGGCAGCAAGGCGGAGCGCGACTGTAATACTGAGCTCCTGCGGATCAAGACGTGTGCCTGTTGCAGATATAGGGACTGCTAAAAGAAAGTACCCTGCATGGGGAGCCTGAGCAGCTGTAAGGCATGCACGATCACTGGGGGTTGTTGCTGCCTCCAGCAAAGCTGTGGCTTCTTTGTCTACAATGGGGCTGTCCCAGCTGGATTGTCTCTTGGCTTTTGGCATGGTTGGTCTGAGTGCTGGGTCTGCCATGATACCCCATTTTGTGTTGCATTCTATGTAGTGGGAGTCCTGTAACCCTGCTAATTCATACAGGTTGTCAGGTAGAATTTCCTTAACCAGGTCGTCTGATGCTGAGGAGGAAGATAGGAAGGCGAGGACGGCAATTTGGGTGGCGGTGCGGACACCCAAGCCGCCGAGCCTGACAGGAAGAGTGGCTTGTTTCCATTGGCATTCTTTGAGGGAGAAGTTAAGAGCTTTTTCTAGCACGGTCTTCAATAATAGGTCATACTCCTCAAGCTTTGGGCTATTGTAGGATGGGGCGCACCTCAGAAAGTAGGTTAGCCTCGGAAGGGATAGGCATTTAGTGAGGAGATATAAAGCATCATGGGCATCGATGTCACCTATCCTGTCTTCCATCCTCCTGAGGTCTGTGGTGTTCTTATCAAGGATCTCCTGAATAGCGTTAGACCCAAGGGGGGGGGGGGGTGCGCCAAGGAGAGTGCTGTTCACAGCCCTAATGACATGGGCTCAAGGCAAGGCAGACCTTATTCTAGCTACTATGTCTGGGTTGGAGGAGACTACTTCACACTTGGAAGGGTTCAGGAAGAGACCCAGGCTTACTTCTTGCTCCCTTATTTTTCTGATGTCTTCCAAGAGGTGGTCTATGGTGCCAGCTATAGTGCCATCATCCAAAAACCAGATGTTGAACTCGCTGGACAGGCTTTGTGATTTCTTTTAAGATTAAGCAGAAAAGAAGAGGAGGTAGAGGACCACCTTGCTGAACACCCTCACATGATCTGATTTTGTGTTCGCCAAAGAGCAGTTTTGACTCGCCACTGTAGCACGATAGTATGAATGGGTAGAGGGGCCGGAAATGGCGATGTATGACACAAAGCACTGCATCTCTTCTGACTATGTTGAAGGCATTCTTAAAGTTCAGTTTGAGCAGGGCCTTTTCGTCAGAAATGTTGGTGATGTATGCTCGTGCTGCATGGGCAGCTGCTTCACAGCCTTGGGGGATTCCAAATCCTAGCTGAATTGGTTTCAGCAATTCAGCCGCTTGCTGGCTGACAACCCTGGTAGCAGCCTTGGCAACCAGGCGTCGGAGAGTGTTGCCAACAGCGATTGGCCTGCGATTGGCCTTTTAGAGTCTGTGCTCACATCTTGTGTCCAACAATCCAATCCAATGCAATGGATACAGCAAGGCTAGTAGGTGGGGCATACAGAGATAGACCCCACATGCTTAGTCCTCAGGACAATCTCCACACTGTGGTTCTTTGGGAGCATTATGTGTTCCTACCTCGTTGACTGGCCTCTATTATGGGATGTGTTACAGGATCTGGGCCATTTCAGCATGCTCTTACAGGAGCTGAAGTCCTAGCACCTACTGCCTCAACTTTTAGACATTGTTTCATCTTTGATACCAGGGCAGCTTCCATTCAGGCTTCCAATATTGCCTGAATTGGTTGTCTTTCCATCATTGGTTGGGTCTTTTGAAGTGCAGTATTGACTTAAGCATTGGGTTCTCAAGTGATTTATGGCTTCTCAACCTTGCATGTATTAACTACCCACTGGGTTGAGTTTGGATAGTTTTGAATATCTTCCTCCAGATGGATTGTTTGAAGCTGGTTCTAGGATTACGTGATTTGGGCTCTCATTTCTTTGGTGTAATCCTTTATCAGATGCTGCTGCTTCAGATTTGTTGGATTATGTTCATTGGAGGCTTCAATTTCTGTCTCTTGAAAGTAAGGTGAGTTAGCTGTCTGAATTTAACACTACTGGTGCTGCTGGTGTCAGGTTGGGATATTCAGTAAAGATTCTTGCTACATCAGGAGATGGAAAGTCTTGATGGCCAATGTTGGAGTACTCAATTTCCTAAAGAGGAGCAAAAGAACAAGGTATTGGCTAAGGGAGTGGACCAATTGGTCTTACTAAGAAATACATGGTTTGAATTTTAAGCTCCTCTTTATTCATCCTTTCTATGATAGCAGAAAAAAATTATATTTTAAATTTATTTATAGTACTGTGTAACTAATGAGGCAATTACCTATTTCAGATAACATATCGCATGTCACAAGACATTGTCAAGCAACGTGTACTTGAAATAAGTGTTTGGAGTGAGGACAAGTTTAGTGAAAATATGTACCTTGGAAGCTCATACCTTCGATTATCTGCTTTAGAGCTTAAAGAAGAGCAGTGTGAATGGCTAAGTTTAGAGCATCAGCGTAACACAGCTCTTGGACACACCATTCAACACAAGGCATAAAAGAGTTCAAAATCATTCCACAATATAAAAGGGGTTGAAAATTCCTCTAGAATTGTTTTAATTAATTTTTTACAGAGATGTAATAAAGTATTTATCTATTAGCTTCTTAGATGTAAGTCTACAAAATGTAATTTTGAAATCTGTTGAGTAAAGTGCAAAAGATATTCTGTACACTATACTGTATGTGCAAAAGCAAATATATGAACTTTCCAATACATGGAATTTCATGACATGACATAAGATAGTTCTGGTAAGGCTTGTTGATACTATAGCAGGTCTATATTGACATTGTAAGAAGTGAACAGTGCCATGCATTTCCTAAATGCTTTTTAAGCATTACAAATTTTTTTGACACGTGATCTGTGTTGTCATTATTTACACCCTTATTCTAACTTAACATTAATTAGTTATGATCATCAAATCTGGCAAATATTTAGAGTAACAGACACACGCTTTCTCATTAAAAATGGTATTTAATTTTTTATGGCCTCATTGTTATAAGAAGTGTCATTATTGAAAATGTCTTGTGTTTTCTGATGCCTTATTTCCTTAATCACTACTGCGCAGAGTCCCCTAAGACACTCTGAGAGTTGTGCTATTTTCTGGAGGGAGCCCTGTCGGCTCCCCGGAGCTATCCAGGCTGATATACTAATATTAGTTTTGGCATTACTCGTGTGTATGGAGTTCTGTGGGCCTACCAAGGACCACGAGCCAGAACCTGGCCCCCTCAGAGAGGCACGAGGAGCAATGGGCTATAGAAACCCCCGTTTGATTGGCAGCGTTCTTTTACCTCTCCCTCGCGCCCTCCTTCTTTTTCATGACACTGTCTTTGACGCTGCCCTCCACTCTATTCCTCGCTCTTCCTCTCGGGGAACGTGGAAGTGCGTTCCCTGGTGGAGTTTGGACTGTGCTCGAGCTGTCCGCTGTAAGTGTGCAGCCTGGAAGAGACATCGCCGCCGGCAGACGGTTGAGTCTTTTCTTTTGTTTCGGAAGGCGAGTGCGGTGGCCCGTAGGACCATCCATGCGGCTAAACGTGCTTGCTGGGTGTCTTTTGTCTCCACTGTTACGTCCGAAACTCCTCTTCCACTGGTCTGGAAGCGTATCCGCAAGATTGCGGGTAAGTTCGTTCCCGATGTCTCACCGGTCCTTCGCCTCCATGGTGCTCTTGTGGCGGACCCGTTGCAGGTTGCGACCGAACTGGGTTCCCATTTCTCCTCTGTTAGTTCCGGTTCTCATCTCCCCCAATCCTTCCTTCTTCGTAACCCTCTCCTTGAATCTCGTCCTTTAAGTTTCTGTACTTATCTTCACCTTCCCTATAATGATCCCTTCTCTCTCTCTCTGAACTTCAATCTGCCCTAGCCCTCTGTGGTTCTATGGCAGCGGGCTCCGATGACATTCATTATGAAATGCTTCGCCATCTCCCTCCGTGCACGTCTCAGTATTTACTGAGTCTGTACAATCGGGTCTGGGAGTTGTCGTCAGTCCCTGAAGACTGGCTCGATGCTGTTGTCCTCCCTGTTCGGAAACCAGGGTCTCTCGGGTCATCCCCCAAGGACTTCCGCCCTATTGCCCTCACGAGTTGTGTCTGCAAGCTCTTTGAACGTATGGTTAACGTTCGTTTGATGTGGTTCTTAGAACACTATCACCACCTCTCCCCTTCTCAATTTGGTTTTCGCAAGTGCCGCAGCACAAAGGATGTCCTGGTGAACTTGGAGGTCTATATTCGTACTGCTTTTGCTGCGAAGACCTCCGTTGTTGCCGTCCTTTTTGACCTGGAAAAGGCTTACGACACTACCTGGCAGTATCATATTCTGTCTCAACTTCATTCTTTTGGCCTTCGTGGGAACCTCCTTCTCTTCCTCCAGAGCTTCCTCTCTCATCGTTCCTTTCGTGTGCGGCTTGGTACTGCTCTCTCTGCCCCTTTTCAGCAGTATGAGGGTGTACCCCAGGGTAGTGTTCTGAGCACCACTCTTTTTCTAGTTGCCCTCAACGGTCTTCTTTCCTCTCTTCCTTCTGGCGTCTTCTCTGCTCTCTATGTTGATGATCTTACCCTTTGCTGTCGGGGTGATGATTCACCTCTCCTTCAACGGCGGCTTCAACTTGCGATTGATGCCATGTCGTCTTGGGCCACCGATCATTGCTTTAAGTTCTCTGCGTCTAAGACTTGTGCTATGACTTTTACTCGGAAGCATGTCGTTCTTCGTCCCTCTTTGTTGCTTTATGGTCATCCCATTGTGTACAGGGATTCCGCAAAGCTTTTGGGGTTAGTCTTTGACACTCGTTTGTCTTGGTCAGCCCATATCTCTTACCTCCGAGTTGAATGCTCTAAGGCCCTTAACCTCCTTAAGGTTTTGTCCCATACTTCTTGGGGAGCGGATAGGCGCACGCTCCTCTATTTGCACTCCTCTCTCATCCTGTCTAAACTTGATTATGGTTGCCCTGCATACTCTTCTGCTTCTCCTCCTCCTCTTCGCCATCTTGATGCTTTGCACCATACTGGGTTGCGTCTCAGCTCTGGCGCCTTTCGTTCGACTCCCGCCCTCAGTTTGTATGTTGACACTGGCTTTCTCTCTCTTCAGGACCGCTGTGATTGCTACTGTCTTCGCTATCTTACGCGGTCCTTCCAACAGCCTTCCTCTCGCCTCTGTCGTACATTGTCTTTTCCTCCTCCTGTGGTTCCTGTTCCTCTTCATCGTCTCCCACTTTCTGCCCGGTTATCTCGCTTACAGGATTCTCTTTCTGTTCATATTTCTAATGTTTCTCCTCGTATTGTTCCTTCCTTACCTCCGTGGAGAGTCCCCCTTCCCAAGTTTTGTACGTCCTTGACTTGTATTCCTAAAGCCTTTACCCCTCCTACAATTCTGAAAAGCCTCTTCCTTGAGTACTTTTCTTCGCACTCCCACTCTATTTCCATCTTCACCGATGGGTCTAAGTCTGCGGACGGTGTGGGCTACTCTGTTGTTTTTCCTGACCGTACTTATATGTGTCGCCTCCCTTCGGAGGCTAGTGTCTTTACGGCAGAACTTTATGCTATTCTCTATGCTCTTCGTCTCTTGCTTTCTCATTCCTTTTTTGTGGTTGTAGTTGACTCTCGTAGTGCCCTCATGGCTCTAGGGTCCTTTAATCCTGTCCATCCGGTGGTCATCGAGATTCAACATTGGCTGTTTCTTATTTCTAGTAAATTTAAATCAGTAGAGTTTTGCTGGGTTCCCAGCCATATTCCTGTTTCTTTCAATGAGCGTGCGGATGCTGCCGCTAAGGAAGCTATCCGTTCTTGTCCCATCTCCTGTAAGGGTATTCCTTATTCCAACTTTTATCCTGTTATTCATTCCTCCATCCTTGCTCGTTGGCAGGGTTGTTGGTCCTCTGTGGTTGGTAACAAGCTGCGTACTCTCAAACGTAGTGTGTCTCCATGGCCTTCCTCCTACCACCGTAACCGGCGGTGGGAAACTGCTTTGGCACGGCTGCGGGTTGGCCATACTCGCTTAACCCACGGTCACTTAATGGAGCACCGCCCTGCTCCTTATTGTCCGAAATGCGTTGTCCCTCTTACAGTTGTGCATATCCTTGTTGAATGTCCTTACTTCCAGGACGAGCGTGTGTCTTGCTTTCTGACCGTCCCTCGCGGTCACTTGTCCCTCGATAGAATTCTAGGTGAATCGGATACTTTTGATATCATTCGCCTTATGCGTTTTTGTTCTCATATTGGCATTCTTAGTGATATTTAGCGCCCTCTGATTATTTCGCACTTTGATGGTGCTACATAGCCTTCCCGGTTCGGTCCCTTCTTTTGATAATTACCTTACCTTACCTTGGAAGCGTTCTATGTCTGCCATCGACCGGGTTAGGCACCCAGAAAGGTAAGAGTCCCAAAACAAACCTTGATTCTGGTGAAAATTGCTACAAAAAAACAAACAAGTGGATAGAATTCGCCAAACAGAAACAAGCATGATGTCACACGTCACTGTGCTGCGCTCTGCACAGCTCCCCCCTCCCCGGGAGTGGGAAGAGGGCGCCCCAGATCCCTGTGCCGGCCATCCACACCTCAGTTCTGAGGCTGATGCTATAGGCAGTGGTTATGTGCCCTGGCTCCAGTGGTTGTTTCAGCACTGTTCCTTGTGAGTGGTGATTGTCTTCTAGGTGGTGCGCGAGCCAGGAGATATTTTTCAGGACTCGGGCCGCATGCACCTAGGGCTCCCTTCCCTAGGTTCCCAGTAAGTACTGCTCATGGGGCTTGGGGCCACCTTTCACAAGTTCCTTGGGTTCTGCCTCTGCTAGGCCATTTACTGCTCGGTTTTCAGCCGCTCTTTGTATCTTTGTGTGCTGGGGTGTTTTGTCTCCCTTGTTTTCCTTTGGGTAAGGAGGCAGTTTGCACTGGTACGGGGTGCGGGGTACTGCACAGCTTGTTTTCACCATTTATAGAGGCCGGCTCTGTTCCGCCTGGGTATGCTGTCCTCTTGCGGGTTTTCTTTTTCTTTTTGTTTTCCTGCCTGGTGGGGATGTGGGGGGGGGGGGCTGCCTTGTTTTGCACCCTGAGTATGGTTCCTGGGTACTACATTCTCTTCGGGTGGTACCCCCTGCTAGGTCCCCGTGAGTGTACACGTCCCGGGGGTTCAGCTCTTAGCGAGTCATTTGGTAGATTTGGGCGCCGGTTAGCAGTACCCTGCCTGGACTTCCTTAAGAGTGAGTTCTGTCTCAAGACCCTGGGAATCACCAAGGGGGCGCGTGGGTCCGATGGATATGACCCCCGAGTCCCCCCCCCCCCTCGCTTTGTGCGAGTTTGAGGGTTGCTCTGTCTCCTTGTCTCAGGGTGATTCTCATTGTTTTTACCTGCGTCACGCTGCCTGTTGGGTTGGTGACACCTTCGACCCGGAGTCCTATGAGTTTTGTTGCTTGCTGGCGACTCTGTTTACCCAGTCTAGTGATGACGTTCTTTGGGTACAGGTAGCACAAGCGTTGCATGTTAGGTTTAGGTTGTTACAACGTGCTAGGTTGCTCACCCAACCCTCCCTCCCCCTCGGTCGGTGGTTTTCACGTGTTTTTGATATCCAGCCTCAGAACTGGGGTGTGGATGGCCGGAGTGGGGGTCTGGGGCTCGCCCTTCCCCCTCCCAGGAGAAGGGGGAGCTGCGCAGACAGGGGCGCGGTGACGTGTGATGTCATGCTTGTTTGCTCGTTTCTGTTTGGGGAGTTCTATCCACTTGTTCGTTTTTTTGTAGAAATTTTCACCAGAATCGGGGTTTGTTTTGGGACTCTTACCTTTCTGGGTGCCTAACCCGGTCGATGGCAGGCATAGAATGCTTCCAACCACACGGAGGTTTTAATAGGCCATTGCTCCTCGTGCCTCTGTGAGGGGGGGC